AAACGATTGCAATCGCGACTTTTTTGAAAGTGATAATGAAGAATATCACTTTCTCTTTCTTTCACATATCTTTGAACGCTATTGAGAAATGTCAAACTTATATTGTATTGTATGCAAACTGCAATCTTTCGATGGATTTAGGTAAGTTTCGATTATGCCGACCTCCGTAGCCGAGTGGCTCGCACGCCGGTTTCAAGGTGTTACCATCTCTGAGGTCCCGGGTTCGATCCCCAGTCGAGTCAATGTAGAAAATAAACTTTTCTATATTGACTCGGGTCTGGGTGTTGAGGTACCTTCGTTGTCTCAGATACTCCATAATACGGGGGCTTTAGCTACTCATCTTGGAATCTGAGCAATGTATGTGATGTTGTTGAATATTTATATTTCTTGACCTTTCAAATGATCATTCGTTCCCAAAACGATTGACTTTATGAGGTACAAAATTCTACAAATCGCATTCACAACCACTAAACCTTTAAAAAGGTTTTAAATAGATTTTGAAATTAGGCCTTTAGCACACTAATCTTCGGAGTTAGACTTCCTAATAGAAAGCTGTGATAGGGAAAGTCGAACAAGTAAGTAGAAGCCGTATTTATCCGCATATATGTTCGTAATCACGTCCTAGTTAACTTCCAGAGATACGACGTCCAAAGACGTCCCTTTTACTAAAACAAATGGCGTTAACACTTCGGTGGCCCGGTTCGACACGCAGACACGTAGCTCGCGTAAACAGTAATCAGCCAGGCGTAAATGCCACATTACTCCTAGTTAAATACAAATGGACCAGTATTGTAACTTAACGTCTCGGTCGCTTAAAGTTGAAGCAGAATATATTTGGAATACATACCTGCATAAATCACACCTGAAGAAGATAACAAAAATCAGCGCTCAGTGTAGTTTTTGACGTTAACGTTCGTCCGTCGATCGTGAGGGCGTTAATATTTCAGTACGGAATCCGGTACAGCGCCCCTAGCGGTAGCTAACTGCCAAGAACTACAAATCTCCATACAAATTCTTACGTAAAACATGACTTCGCTGTATGCGGTGGTTTCATCTTTTTAACCAATTATGGATTTACATATTGGCTGACAGTACCTTTTTACTGCCCCTACTAATCCACCTCAGTTATAAAATATGTTAAGTTTCTCCACTTAATTTTAAACCTTAATGCTTTGAGAATAGTTTAAAATCAACTGGAGTGACATATTGTGGAAAGTTGATGTGCAGCCGTGTGAATAAAAAAATAGACTCTTAAAATAATCAATTTAAATGAATGAGTATGAAATAGTAGATTTAATAGAGCGCATTTCGCACAATTACGACTGCACTATTGTGGAACACAGAGTCGGAAATTCACACGACAGAAAAGGTTGTCGTAAAAATCACCAACGATACTGAACAGAGTTTCGTAATGGCTGAAAATTAATTAGTTACCTACTCTGAACTCTATTTAAGGTAACCTATTTGGGTATATAAATTAAAACTACAAAATTATACTTACGAATCAACTACATTTGCATACAAAATATAAAAAGTCATTTCTAAAATAAAAATAAATCAATATAGAAATAAAATGTGAGATATAAATACTTCAAACAACACTTTTATTATGTCAAAACGACCTAGTAATACTTTCTTTTCAAAAATTCATATCTTTTATCTTACCTCATTAGCACATAAATACAACTGTACTGTCACAATTTATAATCATTTCAAGTATAAGCAGTTTCCAGAACAAGAAATTACCAATCTATAAAATAATAAGGCAGTGATTAATTTAAAAAAAGAAATCGATAATAATCATATTAAATTAATTAATAACTACTCTGGATAATCTTATATTTTAGGCACATGTACTCTTCAGGCAAAATATATTGTAGGAATGTAAAAAAGGATTATTAAAAAATGCACTATCATTGCAGCTTATACTAATAAATATTTCAATACTGTCATATTTTCAAAGAATTCAAGGTGTATTATTAATTTTGATGTACACTTCATTTGTTGCCAAACCGTTATATATTTATATTTTATATATTTTGCACATTATTTAAGAAATAAAGAAATTATTATCATTGTTTTAAATTCAATATTTATTAAACTATGGGCAAAATATATCACACGTAATTAACAACAAACTTGCGTTACAATTATCGACTCTATATCAACTCATTAAAGTCCATATTTAAATATAAATAGTCAAAAGCATACACGCTTCGTTTTCTATTCTCAAACTACAATCTAGTAATAGCAATTAACAAATAAATGAGTGATTAGGTATTGTATACGACCTTTTTTATGTTTTATTACTGATCAGAAAATATATATTCAATATTATAAACTGAATTCTCATAACATCTATAATTATAACATAACTAAACATAATATAAATATACATGACTAATATGATAAAGCTAAAATTTTGTGCTATTAACGACCAATCATCGACTACATTATGGTCAAAATTATAAAATACACAATACACTTCTAGACGTTAAGTAAATTCATCTGGCAAAAAGCGTCATAATTATTTTCATCTTATACGTCTATAATCCAATGAGTATTACCTATGCGGCTTTTTAATAATATATAATCAGTTAGAGAAACAAAATTTACTTAGAATTAGGAATTAAGAATGTATTACTATGCACTACATAATCTGACCTTGCCAGTTTTTATCAACAGACAGATCTATGACTGAGGATAGATTATTAAAAATAATGAAAAGTGTATCATATCTACTGACTGTTATTTGTAATCATTTGACTTGCCTACAGCACTATATAATAGTACAAATGTCCAAATGTCTTATCAATTTTTAACGAATTAAAGTTTTTTTTTTTTATTAATATCATGAGCTGCAATAACATTGAGATGCTTCTGTGTAATTATTTATCTATGTTCTTCCCTTAAGTCATAATCTAGGCAGCAGATATCATACCGATTTTATTATTACAAATTAACTTAAAAAGTATAATATCTATGAATATCGAAGATTATATTTTGTTAGCCATTATTCTCCTGCTGCTGTTTTCACGACCCTCAGCGCTCAAACGTAAGCAAAGACGAGCGCACAATATCTGTCTTATAATTTGTTGTACAGTGTTTTCTCCCACTTTTTTAAAATATACAAACTGTCAATAACATGTTTCAATCCACCATTCTTGTGTAAATTCGAAAAATATGTAATTAATTATTATTATCCAAAAATACCATTTTTAAATTATAACTTCCTGTTCATACAGCAATTGCAAATTATTATAAACGATTTTATGCAACAAAATATTTAAATTTTACTATAATTGTATTTTTTATTATAACTGTACAGTGTTAATATTATTTTGATAGTTTACTGTGTTTAATTATATAAGTCTATTTCACATTTACAGAACAAACTGATATAGCCTTAATTCTACACTGTTGTCAGCCCTACATTCGTTTCATTAACACAGAACGTCAAATATTAATCTTTTTATTAATAAACTTTTTATTAAGTTAAATACAAAAATCATCTCACAGCTCCCGTTAAGGCTAGTAATTGGCCAAAATTGAACACAGACCTCTATGGTGTAATCAGCTTTAGTAAAGTGCACTTTAAAGGAATAAAATTAAATACTTTTATCACTTGATCAAAGCTGACACACACCTGAGGGCATTGGATATTTCTAACAACAATTTTATTAACATCCAGTGCCAGATCAACTCATGGCTCGTAGGTAAAAGGGTCGCTCCAAATACAATAATTATGCATATCTTTTATGTCTATTTTAGCGGTTCAGTCTTTTTTAGAGCTTAAGCGGTCGCACTCCAGAGAAGTGGAAAAGTGTAATTGAGCAATACAGTTTCTTTGTAATGTATACACAATTTGCCGTTCTATAATCAACGCTCCTTAAAATATAATTATAGGAAAATTGCTTTTAAAACGTTATACTAACAATACAAAGAACACAAATGCAGAGAGCTGACTGTATATAATTGAAGATTGGAGGGCAGACTTCTCCCTCAACTCTGCACTCACTCAGAATATTATTCATCCGATTTATTGATTGATTACTATTTATTCCTAGTAAATCCTCTCCGTCTGAATATACCTAATGGCATTATGAGCAACCAGATTGTCTTCTCCAAGCAATGACGCTAAAATTGACAGTTTTAAGAATGACACCTATTTACCAAGATAATAAATCCGGCACTGTTAACATCTTACTTCTAACAGGCACAAACGAGTATTTTGTTGAAAGGCAGAATGGGCAAACTTAGAATTAAGTGAAAGTTCCTTATTAATATATCATTGATATAAGGATGGTTAATATAGGACTTCAGGAGATAAATTCTGATACATATTCAAGACTTCAAAATAAAAATATCTTTTATTAATATCAGAATTATATAATGGCTTCAATAAAATTACCGTTTTAAAGGAATTTATTATTATAAAACACAAAACGTAGCAAGGGCAGCATTGTTACTTACCACCGTAAGACACGATGATCCTTATACGTATTAGTGTAAAGTTTATTTTAATTTACCTTTAGTTAATTTAGCTACACCTTTTACTAACAGCACGAGTTGGCAATACTCAAATGATATCGTTAAATAATTAATATCTACAGATACCCGAATTCTTTTTAGTCTTGAATTGTATCGTACTTAGTTTTTTCTCTCGCAAATAAGAAACTTTCACAAAAAGTACATATTTATTCACAATTTAACTTCAACTCTTAGTTATTTCTCGTAGGTACCCGTTAAGTTTGTACTTTTAAAACATGTACAAAAACATATTGTGACTTACAAATTTTAAGACATTCCACTCATGAGGATGACAAATCGTTTATAAACAATATAAGCTTTTATTATCAGAACTTTATGGTTCAAAATCAAGTAATTTTTTTGAACATGTTTTTACAGTACCAACCTAGGGTAATAAGAAATTTAAAGTACACTAGTACATTTGGACGGTGCCATAGATAAGAAGTAATATAGACAGATAAGATATCCAAAACCAAAGTAGGCTCAATCAACAGGGATAGCTGTAGGGATTCGATGGTGAAGACAAAGATCGTGATATAATTGATATAAGCTTGTTTTTTATATATATAAAAATATAATTTGCTTAGTCAAAAAGCACATAAGGTTATCCAAAACTCGGATTTCTTCTATTTATTTTAAACCTTAAGGCCTGTGATTTATTCAAACATTTGTCTTAGTTCAAGTTTATGTTAAGGTCTTTATTACCATTTCTCATTGACAAAACCTACTAATGTATAAAGGGAAATGTATTAATGTTTTTACCAAGCACTGAAGTTTGACGAACTAATTTTTGGGTATAGAATGGTGAATAAATTTTGAGATAAAAAGGAAGCATATCTTAGAATTCAGTCTTCGTACCATGAGATTCTTTAGAACCCTCTAAAAAAGATCATCGGCAAAAGTAAACACAGAGCACCATACGAAATAAAAATGTCAAATTCGAATGAAAGTCGATCATAAGATTCTATATTAAAATTGTAAAAGGCACTCTCAAATTTATTTGCCTTGCTCAAATATGGTCGACAGTCATTCGAAAATCGTTAAGAAGCATTCTTTTCTCAAAGTTCGCTGTCGTAGAGCGCTCGGTAGGGGTCGTGGGTGGGACGTCTGTGACGTCACACGGCTGCAGGAGAGGCTGATTGTCAGTGCCACTTCGCCTTTTGCGCAAAGATGTCCGCGCGCAAGTTTTGGGCGAAGCAGATGCCCAGGATCTATAAATTATTACAAATACATATTAACTCTCTTCTTATATATATAAAACATGTTTTGAACTAAAATAAAAGAATAGATATCTATCTAGCACTTTATGAATAACGTGAAGATAGATGTTTGTCTCGCAAATAAAACTTAAAATTCTAACAACAATGTATGTGAAATTGAATAGTAAAAACAAATAATAAATTCGTGGTCTTGTTAAAACTATTCCGTTACTTCATCGGCGAAAATACATTATAACATATTTTTTATCGTCACAGCGCTTTGACTCCAAAGATGTATGATGTGATTAACATTCGTGTTATTTATGGGATAATTTTTTGATTGTTATAAATATTTATGTAGTATGCTGTATCTTAATTTTTTTTTTTAATGTGAGAAAGTGTAATTGTCTCAGTATGTTATTTACACCACCAATAAAATAGCGCAGCAATGTTTGTATAGTCTAATAGTAACTATTATGTGTGAAATGTCAGTCAAAACTCATATGTATGTGTGCGTGAAACACATACATAACGAAACTACGCCTTCCTTATCAGTCTTACTATAGACAGAGTGCGGAACGTTTCATTATAAAAAAAAAACAAAAATTTCTTACTAACTGCCAAATTGTGTAGTAAAAGGTTGTAAAAACCAATCCTCAAAAAATAAAAAGCAGGATGGAATCACATTTCACACATAAGTATTGGAGAAAACTTACATTTTCAGTAATTTAAAGTAATTGCTTGGAACACGAAACCTCAGCCAAATATTACCATCGTTAAACGTTATTATTTACCCCGAAATTAAGTAACTTTCATTTTATAACGCGTTATTTCTAACAAAACACAAATTACGTTATGTATTTGTTTCTTGTTGTATGGAAATGATATTTAATAAATTTTGCATTGAAAATGCTACATAGCGATCCAGATCACAGATATTGAAGTGTTAGAATAAGGAAGTAAAAAATAAAAATACGGGTTTATTTTTTACTTCTTTATTTTTACTAAACGGGTTTGCATTAATTTTTAGATTTCCAAACCGACATCAAAAAGTGATTTCAGTCATTCGTAATAGTCGATATGACATTCATGGAATCCAACTTCACGCAACGTAGTTTGTTCGACTCATTTTAAGAGCGATGATATGATAAGTAGCTCGGTGGCGTAGTGGATAAGCGCCGCGGCCCGCGATCGTTGTTGTTAAGCAACTTTCGGAAGGGTCGGTCACGGGATGGATGACCAAAGAATTATTATCTCGAGCTACTCCGTGCTTCGGAAGGCACGTTAAGCCGTTGGTCCCGGTTGCATTTGCAGTCGTTAATACCCTCCAATCCGCATTGGGCCAGCGTGGAGGCCCATCCTCCTTAACCATCCATAAGGAAGGCCTGAGCCCCTGCAGTGGGGACGTAAAAGGGCTGATAATGATGATGATATGTATTTTACTATAAAAGGGTTACGTCGAATAAAGCAAAACTCATATCCAAACTTTTCAAACTTTCTATACATTAAAATTTTAGTTAACAAAGTGAAGTTTTCAAACTTAAAAATTAATTAAATCGTCTCTCTAATGTATGGTCTCCAATAATAATTATCTGCTCTTAAATATTTTAGAATATCTATGCTGATATTGACAAACGAATTTACATTATGTTATTTAATAGCATAGCGTTAACGTTAACTCTATAACGTCGTAACGTTAAGTTATTGGGGTGTTTTTAATGACTATAGTCACACTGGCACGCACACTACAATTGCTAAAAATCGGCTTCACTCTTTTCAGCGAACTTTACTCAGCGAACTCCATCTTTATTTTTTATTTGGTCTGAGCTCATATGATATTATTTTGAAGTTGAAGTTACATAGAGAAGTGGTACCATGAACGTAGTACTAATATAACAGGACTTATAACTCTGAAAAAATGTCATTACGTTCATTGTTCACTGCAGAAGCTAATCCAAGCCGAAAGAGATAGTCAAAAGGGATAGCAATATCGTTGAATAAAAAATTTAACTAAAATAACTTTAGTTGAGCATTAATGATAACTATTTTAAAAATTTAGGTCCTTATAAAATCACATTTTTTTCGTTTATTACAAGAAAATATAAATTATTATTAAGGCTATTTGTTTCCTTATTTTCTTCTGGTGTCTCTTTTAAGTGTCATGACGGTGACATATTTGACATTATCATCAACATCAGCCTTTTTAGGTCCCCACTGCAGGGGCTCAGGCCTTTCTTATGGATGGTTAAGAAGGATGGGCCATGACTCTCCACGCTGGCCTATGCGGATTGGAGGGTATTAACGACTGCAAATGCAGCCAGAACCGACAGCTTAACGTGCCTTCCGAAAAACGGAGTAGCTCGAGATAATAATTTTATGGTCACCCATCCTGTGACCGACCCTTGCGAAAGTTGCTTAACGACAACGATCGCGGGCCGCCGCGCTTATCCACTACGCCACCGAGCTACTCATATTTGACATAATTAACGCATATTATTTGAAGTTTTTAATTCAGTAGTTTCTTATACATTACAACAGTTAAAATTGTTAAAAGTGTTGCGTTTTTTTGTCCAACTGAATCTTGTAGTGGTTTCAATATGTTTTTTTTACAATTAAGATAAAAACAATAACTTTGTAAATCTTACATCTATGTTTACCATGAAGTCTTGTAGTAAGTGGATGTTGTGTATGTGGGAAATGAGAAAATGGGACAAAAATGTCTCTGTAGTTGGGGACCGATTCGTGAAACAGATATAAGAGATGTATGCAGTCGTCGATGTGAAAGGCTTTAAAAATATTTCCACAAAAGAAATTAAATTTAATTCGTTAAGAATTTACGACGGTAAAATTGGACTTAGAAACTTTATAAAACAATTTTTTGTAATGTTTGATGATTATTCATTTTAAATTCCATTTATTAATTTTATTATAGAATATATAACCTGGAACTAAAATGTGTAAACAAAAATTTCTGTTATGATATGATATTGCCCGAGGCACTTAAGATTTTGTGTTTTACAGTAGAAACTCCTTATTTGCTGAGGATATGTTTATAAAATATGGCGTGAATACGGGCGCTGGTATTTAGTATAGAGTTATAGGGGATCCATTCCAAGGTACCAAAATAAAAGCAATATGTATATTAAAATAAAAACAATTGAGATAAGATGATTGAAGAAATACCAATTAAAATCAATCTTTATTGTCATCTTTAAATAAAGGTTTATAAGATTCTATTGATTAATCTTTTTAGCAAGTTTTAACAGATATCTAAATTAAGATTCATAAGGGAGTAGCTGTAGCTTCTTTTTAAGTATTTTATGATCCTACAACGATGCAAAAATTAGAAGGCGTTATAAAAGCTACCTTGTCACATGCTCGAAGTATTTAAAAGATGACGATGCGTTAACAAAACCACGCTAAATTCTTTATTACCGATTGCATCCGTCAATAAACAGATTATAGCAACGAGTAAAGAAACTGAGTCACGATTTTTTAACCACGAAAAAGGAGCTTCTATTGTACTTTTAAGGTATAATAATATTTATTGACAATTCCATATTACAAAATTCTCTTATCCTATTTGGTTGGCACAAAAAGAATAGATTCGTTTTTATTGATTAATAAGCTTTATTGCATAAGAAATAAGAAGACATTGATAGCTGTTTTAGTATGAAAAGGAGGTATGAGACCGTCTCATAATAAGGCTCTTTACTCATAGCTCGAAGTCGCATCCATCGTCAATTTAAATTGCATTGTACCAATGGAGAGGTGCAATTCAACGGACTTTATTGGAGATTCAACGGACTTATTGGAGATTCATTCAATATATTTGTCTATATGAGTGTATTTGTCTCTTTTCTATAGTGTAATAAAGAATATTTATTATTATTATTATATTTTTATTTATGAAGTAAAGCGGTTTCTCATGCATTTGTTAGCGAGTTGGATCTGCGATTTTAAACATTAAGTGACGTTCGCAAAGGCCAGTAATGGGATGGGTGATCAATTTTTTTTTAATTGATTGATAGTGGGTGAGAGAATAAAACTAATCCACCCAGCATTCCTAACTAAGCCCACATGTAGATCTCAATACAGATTGGTGGTGCTAAAGCATATATATTCTTAATGGAGGAATGAAACCAACCACCCAACATTCCAGTGAGGAAAAAGCGTTAGTTCCAATGAGGATTGGCTGTACTAAAACATCGATATTCTTAATGGATGAAACCATTCCACCCAGAATTCCTAGGCTGGGCCTAACTGGGTCTACGTGGAGGTCCGAATGTGGATTGATGGTGCCAAAGCACAGGTATTCTTAATGGATGAAATCAATCAATCCAGTAATTCGTACTGAGACAACGTGGTCGTCTTAAAAATTTACCACCCATCCTTTGACCGGCCTTGGCAATCTTCTCATAACTTCCGCAATCACAGATCAACCACGCTAATCACTACAACATCGAGCTGTTCACTAGTTTATAAAGAAGAGATATTGCCATATTTTTTGTCAAATTAAATATGTTCTGATGATTTGGTAATATTTTGTTTTATTTTTTTTTTATTATCTTTAATATTTTTGTGGCTTTGGTCTTAAAAGCACGACAGCCCCATATTAGTACCCATGGATTTGAGATTGCACAAAAAAGTAGATCAAGCCCTCATACAATTGAAGCAATAACGCAGATCATGAGCACGTACGGTCGGCCAAGAAAGTGGTCTACCAGTTTTGACAACATTTCCCGTGTCTTTAAAGCATCGCTAAAGGCGAATCTTAGAATTGCATACAAACAATAAAAGAGATGCACAATGCTGACGTGTTGTCGTAGAGCACAAATGTTATTTTGACCTTTGCAGCCTATGCATTAGATAATAATTTGCAACAACAAATAGTCTTCACAATATTTCATAAATTTAAAATTTAAGTAGGTCACTTCAAAGTGGAAACTATTTTGTTACGAAAACTCTTTTACTGAAAAAGAATATATCACTTGACAATTCATGTCAAATATTTTCTCGGCATTTTCCGTAGGTATTTTCCTAATTAATTTACACTACAATGCCCCGAAATTTATCCATTAACGAAAGAGCACAAATAATCGCATTACACAATGATGGTTTGAATATTAGTGAGATTTCTAGAGAATTAAATGTGTCGGTAAGTATTATTATGTCTGACGTGAGTTTAATGTAAAATCTCAGACCAAGTCCGAGTGTAAAAAATTTTTTTTATTTTTTCTGTTCATATTTTATTTTTGATTATAGATACAAGCTGTCCGTCTTTGGATAAGACGAGAAAGCGAGGAGGGGAATTTGAACGCTCGGAGTCGTAGCGGTCGTAGACCTGAAATATCAAATACTCAGCGAGTCTTCATGAGACGGAGTTATGAGGAATCTGGCTTTATACCAACGCGTTATTTTGCCGACATATTTGACGTGACTCTCCAAACCATTAGAAACCATTTACATTACATGGGCTTACATCACAGGCGTTATGCAAAGAAAATTTATATGACTGACGCTCATAGAATGGCCAGATTAAATTTCGCCATAGAATATTTGGATTTTGATTGGAGTAACACTGTTTTCTGTGACGAGAAAACTTTTAAATCCAGTCAACACGGGCGTCTACACCTTTGGCGATTCAATAAAACGCGATACACGCAAAATCATGTCGTGCCAAATAGAGAATCGGGTCGTATCTCGGTAAATTTGTATGTATGGATGACTGCTGATGGTGTTGGAGACTTGACCTTTTTGCCACCACGAGCAACGGCATCAGATTATGTTGATGTTCTCCAAAATGCTATGTTGCCATCCGTCCGGAACGTTTATCCAGAAAATGAAATGCGTCAATTTAATTATTTACAGGATAACTGTCCCTTACATAAAGCAAGGGTAACACGTGCTTGGTTTGATGCACATCCGGAAATAAACTTGATACCATGGCCTGCAAAATCGCCAGATCTCAACCCTATTGAAAATATGTGGGGTCTTACGGTTTAGAGATGGTGTAACCGTAATGAACGAACAGCAGAAGCACTACAAGGGCACTGCAATGAGGTTTGGGAGGAAACACGTGGGTCTGATATCTGCTCAAGACTGGTGGGCTCGATGAGGGAACGTCTCCAAGCTGTTATAGAGGCAGATGGCGGCTACACAAGATTTTAAGAATTATAATTTTATAAAAGAATTGTATATATTTTTTAACAACCAAAGAATTAGCATTTTCACTATCTCTTCTAGTTTTAGCCCTTGTCTCGCACTAAGCTATGGGTCGGCGCAATATGTTTTTCGTCGCTATTCATTTCTGTTATCCGTTATCTCAGTATATTCAGACCTATAACACGCATAGCTTCTTACGCATAGCATTTCACTACCTACTGATTTTTTTTATTTGTATTAAAATATAATTAATCTACATTCTAATGTAGGATATTTGTAGCCTATAAGACTTTATTTACGATATTCTAACTCTAAAGTATTTAAACATACAAACAGACAGACAGAAAAAAAATATTTTTGGCTTCTATTAGTCTTATGAAGGCCGTCCATATATTTTTTTTTCCAAAATACTCTTACCTCATTTTTATTATAGGTATAGATAATTACTGTCAAAGGTTACGTCAAAATGATGAAGATAGCAATAATGACGTGTACTTGACGTGTCAAAAAATTAATGCTACGGAAAATCAACCTTGTTGTTAGTTGACGTAACACGCGAAATTCAACCTTAGGGTGGTAGACCACTTTCTTGGCCGACTGTACATGCAATTCGATGTCGAGGAGATTTGTGACCGATATTAACAGATTGTGCAATCTCATGAGTAAACAAACACTTGCGATTCTGCATACATATTATAAGGGCGCGCGATTCGTGCGATATCGATCATCCATAACCAATTACACGAAAAGCCTTTAACTAATTAAATAAATAATAAAAATATATTTACTATTTATTGTGTACGATAAATGCATCGAATTATCAATGCACCGAATCGGATTCGGCAATTCGATGGCCTCATCCTTGACCCTTCGAAAATAGATTACGAGAATAGATTACAAAATTAATTATGCATGTACATAACACAGACTAATTGATATTCCATTTAGTAATTAGCTGCTTCACAAAGTATTTCGTTTTTCTTCATTGAACTACTTACGGCAGACCTTTGAATATATTATTTTTATGTTCATATTAATAAATGAGACATCGCATACATTACTCTAATCTCAACCAAAGTAGCTTGTGACAATATTGTAGTATGGAAATACGAAATAACGGAGATGCCACACCACCCAGACCCGAGACAATATAGAAAAGTAAATTTTTCTACATTGGCCTAACCGGGAAACGAACCCAGGACCTCAGAGGTAATGGCCTCCAAGTCATAGATCAAACGCATATAACTATCATATTTGAAAATATAACATATAAAAAATTTAAATCTGACGATAGTAAAATAAAAATCGATATTTAATTCATCGCCAGTATTTACAAGAATATTATCTTACATTTTACAATGTCTATTAATTCCAAATCAAGTGATTCAAATGCACTGACACCGATTTCTAGTTATGTACAATACAGTGTTACCAACACAGTAGATTTGCTATTTCCGCATTGATGCCCCTGTTTTCTGTTTCATTCTTAATAGTTACTGTTTTTCAATTAGCCTTTAGTGTCACCTATTACAAATATAATCCGAAATAACCGATACTCCTTTAAAACCACAGAAGGGCACATGAAGAAATTCAACAAAACTATGTATAATTTTAAAAAGAAAAATGAGAAGCTTTACATGTGCTAGTGCACTAGCACGATTAGTAAACAAAGAAACTTTTACGAACATTTTGTCTGGAAATAACTGATTTCCTTCCTTGTTACATCGAATTATGCAACAATGTTTTAATTATTGGATAAAATTACACTCTTTCTAATTATACATTATATTTTCATTTAAATATATTATATTCCTGTACTGCGTATAGACAATTCAATGTGATCATTTTTCTGACGCTATTTATACATTAAATTTAAAAAAAAAACCTTTCTCAAGTGCACACAGGTAGATTTCCGTTTCTTGTTTCTTTATTTCGTGTAAATGTCTAGTGATGTAATCGAGTGTTGCGATTAGAAATAAACTTTTTTTTTATCTAGAGTATACAGATTCTACTTTACTCTCTGTTCGTTACTCTATGAATGACATTTTAAGTTTATAAAAAACTGTTTACAATATGCGCTAGTGCTGCAACCTAGTGACAGAAATTAGCAAAAATACGTCGTATTATGGATAAAGCAATATACTAAATCTAACGTGCAACTACATATCAAAACTTACTTGTGCAAAAGCGGTACAAACAGCAGACGTAGCTACAATCAACAGGTTGTGGTCAAACCACTCTTCGGCGGCTTCTAAGCAGCCTTTGTCATATATTATTTTAGCTATATCGTAACTCTAAAACAAAAGGAAAAACAAAAAACAATAACAAAAATTACCATTTTTATAACTAATAAAAACATGTAAAACAAATCAGTGTAGATAACATCAAATTGTGAACGTACCAAATTCTACCCTAAGCTACTACGAACTACTTTTTTGCGATTTCGATACTAATACGGTATCTATTTGAATCCTTGTACACTTTAGTCATTTGAAATAAAAAAATCTGGAATAAAAAAAATTCATTAGTTTAAAAGTATCATTACCCATACAAATTTGACGTTCATTAGAGACTAAAGGCGTCATTAAAACTTAACGGAAATTTTGGATATGCAAAGTATATTGACCCATACTGTGTCAAGGTAAATCTCCGTTCTCAATTACATACAACGCGCTAGACTAAAGTGTACAAGAACTATCAACGAACCATAAAAGAACGATACTACGATACTGTACATCACTATAGTCTTATTCACATAGCATGGGGAAAGTGATGTTTAGGAGTTGAAGTCTTTAGTGATGTGGTAATAAAAAAAAGATATATACAAAAACTCGATATTATTGAGTTCGTTTCTAATAGAGATTATCGATTTTGAGTTCAATGTTTCAAATTAGGATTTATGAAAAATGTTTATTCATCAACATGATGAACCCGAGTCAGAAAATAAATAATTTTATTATAGTTCAATTTTAAATGTCACAACAATAATAATAAAAAAAAAAATAAAAGGATTACCAATTACATATTTCGATTAAACCGAATTTTCGTAACAATTATTCATGTTTTAAACTTAAAAGGGTTAGATTTCAGTAATTGTGCCTATTAAAAATTAATTTGCGTTTTATTTTGCAAATTTAAATGAATATCTAATACATACACAATCAAATTATTTTTAAAACGATGGTTATTAATTTTGGAAATACAAATTGCGTAAAACGGATTTATTGACAAACGTCACTGTTCCCATGCTATGTAAAACGTACTATAGTATGGATAACCTTTAACGCTAATGGTCCTAGCAGCGCGGCGGCGACGGGCGCGCAGTGGCGCTGCAGCCAATCCTCACCGGCCGCTAAACAACCGCGCTCGTGGATCACGCGCTCACTTATTTGCTATAAATACGTCCAAAACGGATGTCGAATCGGGTGGAAATTTACATGTATACTAGCTGTCCGCCAGCGGTTTTGCCCGCGTGGTCCCTAGGGAACTGTTTATTTGGATATCGATTCATATCATAACGCAGATATAATTATAATGACAATTTGAATAGTAAACAATGGTTACTGTGGTAACTTTTTATTTGTGTACAAACTTCCACTCCCATTTTCATCCCCCGTTTCCGATATAAAACATAGGCTATGTTCACCGCATATGATGTAACTTCACGTAGATGAAAGAATTTTTAAAATTGGTCCTGCAGTTTCGGAGCCAATTCGACGCAAACAAACAATCAAATCTTTTTTTTATGATAATAGTATAGACTTGCTGATGCGGCGAACTTCGTATCACTATATTTTATTTCTACTGTCGCGACTAAGGAATTAATAACCCTTCCGGTAAAAACGTCAAAAATTGTCTCGTCAAAGATGTGCCATTCTTCTGTCACATACCATCAATCACTTTTTGTATTAGATTTCAAAAATTACTTCTGATAAAATCTGTATGCATGACGAACTCGAGAAAGTATTGTCTTCACCCAAATGTCAATTTTCCCGGGTGAGTCCATACCATATCTCACTCTCGACTCGATAAAAGTGACGTTTGGAGTATGGAGATCAAGGGAGTCAATCTCAAATTTACAGAAGGCCATATAATATATTTAGATTGTGTAGGAGAGCCAGGTTCAAATAAAAAAGAAACAGAATTATTATTACAAAAGAACAAAAAATTAACATTACATCGCTCATTTAGACTCAGGCTACTTTTAAAATTACCAATAAATAAAACGCGCGCAATTTTAATTTAATTTCTTTAGGGGCTTCGAGTGCAGTCTGAAATTTATAAAAAAAATCGGTGATATATTGTGATGGTGGGCCAGATTGATATAACATGCGGGCTGGATAAGGCCCGCGGGTCGTAACTTTCGCATGACTAGTGTATGTAGACAAAATGTTTCTCGAGTTTTATCATGCTACGTGTATACGCTAATCGATACAGATAACAATAGTTTGAAAGTCTGTCCTGACAATAAGAAAAAAAAAGAATCATCCAATTTGTTGCAGTTGTTCGGAAACTAGGTATGTGGTTACCTTACATACATTTCAGCAAAAAAATTATATAAATATGTATACATATATAGATTAAAGTCACACTTCAAAGGTTGAGCAGAGCTTACAATCAAAAACCTTAACTCGGGTTTGAAATTGGGAAAGAAAGTTTGTATCGAACGCAGGAATTTATGGTGCAAATCAGATCTCTCCAACCATTACTACCTGCTACTAGGTCAAAGTTTGGTTGGTCTACCTTATGAAATTCACTGCGGAATACCACCGCGTGGGGAGACAGAGCCGGGATTCAGCTTGGTGAGCACCGTACCTTTCAATACAGGACGCTCGCCCTAATTAAGATTGCACACAAGACCTTCCAACTTTATGTTGTGACATCAACTAGAATTATTTAGTCATTATGTTAATTTTGTGTGTATTTTCGAAACAACTTCGCCATTGTTTCGATGACATTGGGTCATCGAAACAATGTTGATTTGTCACAACAGACAATATTTTACGTATATTATTCTAGATATCTCAATACAACAGTTAATTGACGTACAATGTAGTGTCAAAGATGGCTGAAATATTGTTTTTAAACTTTTGCCTACACAAACACTCATAGATTCGAATGCAATGACAAAATTTATGGAAATTAATAAAGATCTTTTTATTATATACTCACGTATGTCGGTTTTCTAACGTCATATCCGCACTGTTTATTCCTGATAATATCTTGTGGTTTACTTCGACAACAGCTGAATGGCACCCCGCACGCTTCTCTGGAACCGACGGCACCGCTCGAGCAGTTGAAATAGGCATTGCGATCCCAATCACGGGGGCCTTCTACGCCGCAACATTGTAACTTGAAAGAGAAATCAACGAAATCATAGTATGCCACATCGAGCTATACAAATCTGTTAAATTTCCTCACTCGATTTTGAACCTTAATACGTTGAGGTTGGATGTTAAAATCCATTGAGGAAATTTGATATATTGTGGTAACCTGACTTACAGTCATGTATATTAAAATCTATAAAATATTATTAATTAAATGTTCAGTTTTTTTTTTTTTCAAAAAATCTATTACAATTTCGAAGTTTAATAAACATATTATGTTAAAAATAGAATTTTACCCAATCTTCTTGAATCCAATCAATCAAATTCTGTTGATCAGGGTCCTCTCTATAGTGTGTAATGAATGTTTGAAAGCCACTGGTAGCTTGCTGTTTTATCTGAAAGTAGTAACACACAGTAATAAACAAACTATAATTTAAAAATCTTACTATCAGACTTAATATTTACATAATTAATTGTTACATAATTTAAATTAGTCTACTTGAAATTTGTATCAGTAAATTGTAATGTAAACAATAAAGCACTATCTATTTATATAATTATAATCAATTTAAGCTTATCAACCTACCCAATCTTTAAATACAAAGAAAAGTATTCCTGTGGTCATTTCTGCCAAAAGAAGTAATGCAAGGAACACCGCGTACTGCAAAAAGAATAAAATAAATAGTTATAAAAATCAATAAATGTGAGGCAACGTAGCATGCCGAACTCGAGAAGTTTGAGAAACGTGTTGATAGTGAAATATGCTCTTAAATCTCGCTCTCGCCCGTTTCTCAAGTTTTTCGAGTTCGTCATGTTACTTCTGATCTCTAATTGAGCTCACGATAACCATTAGCAAATAAAGATAAAATAAAGTCATCCAAATATTTCGTCTTCTCCACCAGTACCAAAAATAAGCAGATGCTTGTATAAATATTTATGAATTCTGTATACATGTTTAAATTATCTTCAAAATCCGTTTTTGATAATTAAATAATATTTTAGGTTAAATCATCAATAATATAAGTTATAATGGTTATGAATAGATCATTAAAAAATCCACACAAACAAAAATGATCTTCATGATAACCTTCAATAGATGTAAAGTTCTCAAGCAAGTATTGTTTAAAACATACTTACACATGCCAGCAAACATGTGTTCTCACGCAACGCACCAACACAGCCAGTAAAACCAATTATGAATGTTATAGTTCCTGAAACAATTATTATGATATACATATAAAAATAATTTAACAGCCTTAGAAAATGCCAATAAAGAGAAACTACTGAAAAGATAGAAATAATAACATAAATATATATGTTTAAGAAAATCGAAACACAAAAAGTGGATACACCAGCAATTTTTTCGAGGTCGGTGCCAACCGTCTCGTTACTAAGAAGTTAAACAGCACCATCAGAAAATCTATTTTATTAAGATATTATGAAGTCGGTTTAATTTTTTAAAATTGTGTTTTTATACCTTTCTAATTTAATAACAGAAGTTATCACAGATCCATCTTACTTACTTCTAACTTGTAATAAATGGACGCCTACATCTGTATTTAAACATACTTATATTTACCGGATAAACATTTTCTGTGATGGTAGCAGTTCCAACCTAACTTAACCTATTATTCTGGAAGCAATTCGTTTTTATTGAGGTCACAGTTCTAACCTTACCTAACCTACTGTACTACTAACAGTCGGTTTCTTAAGTAATTTAGTAAATTATCTCTTATGTTATTTGCAAGTTGAGAAATAGGTAATCAAACAAACAAGTATCATTTCAATCCAATGTCTAATTTACGAGAAATAAATTGTCAAACATATAAACATTGTCAAATATAGCACACGTCTTCAGTTAGAAGCGCATATTAACTAACATATATGAATATTGTGCCATACTCCATCAAAATTACAAACATATAGGTCATATACATTACCTATTTCTTATAAGATCTGTTATAAACGTACAGGTAAATTTGAGAACCTTTTTTTTATGTCGGTTAATGATGTATACATATACATTGGTAGACTGCTGGCGTCCTTTATTTTGAAATTGGTTAAAAAGAACGTCATTAATTTTAACTCCTTAATAAGACAGTTAATTATTTACTCCTTTTATAAATAGCTTTAATTTTAATAGGTTTCTATCTTCAGAACTAAACCGATTTTGATAAAACTTATAGTGTACCCTAAGTTGAAAGCTAAGCAATCAATAAAAAAAAAACATTGCAATCCGACGTCATGTTTGCAAGATATCTGTGAACAAATATACATACATATGTCTATAAAATATTGTACACATGTTTAGAAGCCAATAAATAAACACCATACATCGCGAATTGATAACCTCCTTATTTTGTAGTCGATAAAACACATAATATTTCTATTACGGCAGAGTGGCTCACACTCTGGTTTCAAGCTGTCACAATCTATGAGCCTGACTTTGATTTCTGGCCAGGTCTATGTTGTCCAAGTCTAGGTAGTTATTGTACTTTTATTGTTTCAGATTTCCATAACACCAGGAAATCTGTTAGTGCCAATTTTATTATTTATATAAATACTTTATATAGTTTAATGGCACCAAACATAATATTAATGTGTCTCTTGATATATGAAAATCAGCGGTTTATATATGAAATACTTCCTCTATCTATGCAGTTAGTTACCTCAAATGCAATGATTAATAAATGATTCAGTTAGTAAAACATGCAATTTCCCCATTATAAAAATTAATATTTAATAAATAACTCAACTAGGAAAACAAATAAGTAAAAAATTATTTGGACAAAATTTTTATTCATAATCATACTGGCATATTACTTGAATCCAGAATATTATTTAAAACTTTGGTTTGCCAATCATAACACGAATCATGAAGGTTACAAAATCAATGCTAATTAAAATCAACATACAAAACTTAAGTGTTGTTGTCTCAAATATTTGATTATATTATAATATGTAAAAAACCTAATGTTGCCTTGTAATTCCATTACTAAACTCTATAATTATTCAAAATTACTCTATTATATTTTCTGGTCCTGCTGGTCATTAGGGTTGATACCCTTTTGTGTCTCATTCCAATATTTATATAATATCAAAAATATAAAACTGATTTTAGGCAAAAACTGACCAACAACAATGGCACACACATCAAACTTTTACTCAAATACCTACCTGATAAGTCTAAAATTCATATCTATGGTTGAGAAAAATAATTAGACTTGCAAATATGCTTTAACTTAAGCAGATATTTTTAACAAATAAACAAAAACTTATTAATATTACCTATTAATATATTGGAATACTGTAATTATTACCTATTAACAGTTAACAGTTACTTCATTCAAATTCTCATCTTTTGATTTGGTTTGGTTAAATTTATCTCAACTATAGATACAAGTGTAAGAAAACCTATAGCATTACAGATATTAACTGAGTAATACTGAAATAACTACATAATTTTTTAATTCAACATGCATCTTTCATTGGTTGTGATGAGATTTTAAAATGTGTTCTCGGCTTTATACATTGAATAAAAGTAGTATATTATAATAAAACTTACCAACGCATATTAAAATAAAAGCAGGATCCAAAGCAATATTTGTCAATCTCGATAAGTTATTGAATGTATCTTTTTCTGTCCATGCCCAAATGCCCACAGCCAATACAATGAGGCCGAGAAACTGTAAATAGTATTGTATTGTAAGGCAACTAACTCTGACACATGTCCAAGCCATTTTTGCAATTATAAAGAATGATTGAAATGAAGTTAAATATTCACTTTGATGCTTTATATGTACAATACTAGAAGATATGGAATTGTTACCATATTTATATTGCATTCTTCAATCATTATCTTTAAATTTATAAACTATATTGACCTTTCAACTATAACAGATAATGTTAAGAAAATAAGAAACCTTGGCCATAAGCTACTTGGTCATTTCTAGTGTTAGGGTATTAGAGAATATTGTGTTCACATTTATTCCTGGTATTTATTATTTTATTTGTCAATTTACAACTTCAAGGAATTGTAACTTCCTAGTATTTATGTCAGGATTACACCTGACTTTTATTGCCCCTTTACTTACATATATATATGAAATTAAACGTTTATAAATATTTTAAAGCAAAATCTTTATTAATTCAACTTTGATAGCAAAAAATGCGACAGTGATTTCTTTATCCTTGACAAATAGTAAGAACTGTAGAAACCAAGTTTTGAGTAAATGCAAAGACTGAAACATTTAACTGATTAATTCTAAAATAATTATTCAACATTTAGGTATTAAGAATTGTTTGAGGACTTACCCAGAACAAAACATTAACACCAAAAATAACGTATTTCAAACAACAGCTGACTTCGCTGGTGTCACGTCTGTATTTTCTTATCCCAGGCATTATTTATGTTAGTTGTTGAGTAATAAATTAATTATGTTACAAAACTACATTTGGATGTAATAAATAGACCTACAAAACTAAAACACAATTAGGCCAACTCCACTGAAATGAGATAGAATGAAACAAGTGAACGACCTACGTACAAATATACAAAATGAGAAGAAAGGAAATTATACGGCAGTTTTAAAAGTGCTTCCAACGTTGGTCATGTTAACCACGACCTGGGTGTGACAAGACAAGGAGATATAAATCAGGCATGTTAGAAAGAGTGAGAAAATATTTAGCAGGTCACTTTGGCACCTTTTAATTTAGTAGCATTTGTACCGTTTGTATTAAAACCTTACCTACTAAAATAAACGCTGTGATGTCATTAATAAACGTCAGCCTTAGCTGTCTATATGACTTTGACTGTTGTTTACCAAAAAGACGAAGTTTTGAGTCAATGCAGCCATAATAAGAAATATTTTTAAACATAATTTCTAATTATACATTCAAAATTTTATCTAAATTTCTTGCAATCAATAATAGGTCTTAATTTATAAATATCTTTGTTTTCTATATACATTATATTTCTATTATCTTTAACAATGTTATGAGATAGACGCGCTCAGAGCTATTTTTTTTAGTTTATTTAAATTCAAAATTTACATATTTTATTATTGTTTCTATACGTGTAAAGACAACAAACGTGACATTGGCGGAATTGTGTAAATGCAAATACGCCATAAATTAAAAAAGAAGAAGAAGAAGACAAAGTTTTGAGTCAATGCAGCCGTAATAAGAAATATTTTTAAACATAATTTCTAATTATACCTATTAAACCAAAATTGATGGAATGAAAAATATGAATGATAAAAGAATATCGAGCCTTTACCGCCATTTTAGCGCAACCGACAAAAGACAAACTTTACAGGAGAAGGTTTTTTTTAAATATTTTTAAAAAGAAATGTGCTAATAAATTGAAATTTTAAATACATTAATGATTTTCAGACATTAACATATATGATGGAAAAATATACAAAAATATTTAGTATTTAAGCAATTTATGTCGCTTAATTTATTTTTGCTGTCATAATCTAAGGTTGTTTTGACATTTACGATAAAAATATCCATTAATATTACTAATACAGTTTATTGTATTAGTATTATATTTTGATAAATAAATAGATATTTAAAAGGCGTTTAATTGAAATAGTTATAAAATATTGAAAATGAAAATTTATTTCTATTAAACAATTGGAGTAATGAGATCAATCAGCGCAATTTATAAACTTAAACTATTAATTTAAAATGAAATCATCTTCTTCTCGTTTAAATGATATATATATTTTTTAAATGATATGATATTTTTCACTGTGTCAAATATTAAATAATTATATAAATTATTTGGAATAGTGAGATATTGTATTAATATAAAATAAAATTAAATATTTTTAAATCTCCTCATCCTCATCTGTTTCAGCTAAAGCATCACGTACGTTTCCATCATGCTTCATACTTAATTATTCTTGATGGTATCTGTTTGGAATCACGTTTTTGTTACACAGATCCTGTAAATCTTGGTATTTAGCTGATGAAAGTTTGAGCTCTTCGACGTATATAGATGTAGGCCCCTTTTCGACAATAGCTTTGTTTGCTCTTGATCTGATGATGAAATCCATGTTTATTTCGTAATTGTCACTATCTTCGAAAAAGCCGTATTGAAATTTAATAATAGGATTATTTTTATGAAATTGCACCGCCCTTAATGAACTAAAATTAATTTTAAATTTAGCCGGTAATAAAGCATGCGAAAAATTCTTCCAATCCATGAAGTCTCCGTAGTTTAAAACATTTATAATGTAGTTTCTAGGCTTATTTCTAGCATTAGTAATCATAGTTGGCCACTCAGAAGGAGCCCATACTGTTTTATTACGCACAAAATTTTCAATAGTGCTATGAATAGAATCAACAGGCATCATGGTGTATCCCGGTAAAAGATAAGTTACCTTTATTCGTGTAATAGTAATTGCGGTTTTCAAGAAATGAATTAACATAGATATCATTGCGCGATTCCTATTTTGCCCGGCACAGCTATCGGAGTATAAATTTATCTCTGTACGGGTACCTCTTTGGTCTACCATAATCAAGTATTTAAAAAGGACTGTAACGATTTCATTACAGCCCCTTTTTACGTCGCGTTCACCCCACAGGTAACAGTAACCTTCCCTTGTACCACTTTCGTATATAATTTCATTATAGTATGCATACTTCCTGGAATAGTATAGGGTAACACTTTTACCGTGTGGAGTATTCAGAACTTTTTCTAAATCAAAACTTACGCACAAGGAGTTAGAATCAGTTAATTTGCTCTTCTAAAAACAGTTGCTTACATTTTTCTTTATCTAGAATGTGATTTTTATATTCAGGTGTTTGTTCAAAAATAATTTTGTGTTCAGGTGATAAATTTTTGCACTTCTCACAAAAAGCACATTTATCTTTTTTTGGCAGATGGAATCCGATATTAAAATCCTTTTTAAAAATATTACGAAATACTCTTTTTGATAATACTGATGATTCTGGATTATTTTCTTTTACGTAATTAACATACTGTAAATACAAAAACGATATATTTTGAAATTCTTGAGGTAAATATACTTTAGTGCTTTTATTGCGACAATAATGGGATGGAACAGCAGGCAACATCTCAATAAATAATTTTAACTGTGCGACTTCTACCTCATCAGATTTATTATGAGGACGACTAGTTCTTCTGCCATCGCGAGTGGTATTCAGAGTTTTATTGGCATTTTCGATGGTATATCTCATAGACATTTGGGATATGCTTAGGGTCTTAAGCAAAAATTGTTGACATACTTTAACTTTCTGTCCATTGTAGCTGATAAAATAATCGTATGATATTTTACGGATATTACTACTGGATTTTTTTCTTCCAATCGGTTTTTCTTTAGCACATGACAGCAGGAAATCTTTTTGTCTTTTATCACAACCTAATCCCCAATAGTTTTCAAAAATATTATTGCGATCATCTTCTGTAAATTTATTTGCACATGAATTACCACATTTTTTATTCATACAAGGGTTTGGTTGCACAGATTTCCCTACAGCAGCGTTACGATTTTTTTTTGCTAAAAGTCGTTTTGGTAAAGGTTTTATTTTCCTATATCCTTTTTACCAACACTTGTTTCTTCTTCTATTGTTTGATCGGACTTATCGTCATCCGAATCACTGGACGATGAGGCAGGCTTCCATGAATCTTCGCTATCAATACAGGCAACGCTGTCGTGGGTCTCCAAATTCTTGGACATATTTTGTTCTGGTTGGTCAAACAGTGAACTGGTCCTCGGCTGTATCAATTGATCAATGAAAGCTGGCAAAGTAGAATCATAAGTTGTTAAGTCCTTTATGTTCCGGTTATCTAAATCCAGTAAAGTGTAAGCATTCTCAGTGTCTGAATCACTGTATTCGACAAGTTTAGTTTGAGGTAATAGTGTTAATAATGAGTTAGTATTGAGCTCAGAATTTAAATCGGTATCACAAATATAATCGATCAACAAAGGTGATGTCGTATCAGTTATTATTGGGTCCATGTCAATATCGCTGTAGCTGTCTGTTGGTGAGATTTGACCTAAAGCTGGGGCCTCTGTATCTTGCTGTATGTTCTCGGGAAAAGCAGTTCCAGAATTACTATTTTCTGATATGGGAAGTGGTGATATTAACTGCATAATTTTCTTCATTCGTGACTATAAAAAACAAATAATAACTTAAAAAGAATCACAGAATAATAAATAAATCATTAATGGACGACTAACGTAGGCAGTAACCTACTATGACTGCTTATTTTATACCAATGGTGCGCCCTCGCCTTGCTTTTGTTAATAAAAATTTTTCATGGCAATATCGGATAAAAAGTATCCATATTATCCCTGATGAACCCAGGTGTGAAGTAGTTTTCTAATGGTTAAATGGAAGAATAGTACATGGAACAAGATCGTTCTAGTATTTAAGATTTCCCCAATTCAATTACCAAAATTAAAACACAATACATACCTTAGCTGCAGGATTCGACATTGCTGTTTTATTTAATGTTTTCGAGCTAACTATCTGTACTATATTTAAAGCACAATAAGGAAACAATAACTGATACAATTTAAAACGTTTTTATGGCTGAAACTGTTTTTTTTAGCTACAATTCAACGAGAACGATGTTTGTCGTATCATAATTACTTTCGGATATAAACATGTCACTACAGGTTTGTTTGTAGTAAACGCCTCATAGTCTATCACCTACGTCGGTTACGATAACAAGTAGTGTCACTTGCGCTACAAAAAATTGATCGCAAGGCACTTACGATAAAAATGCTTGTTGTCGCTTACGTTATGGCTTTAAAAATACATGTATTTACGATAATTTTAGCACTTGCTATAACTTTATAACGGTTAAATTTTGGCGGAAAACGTCAACAGGAATAGGTCCGTTAGGGTTTCAAATACTACTTAAAATGAAAAAAGCATTTTCGACAAAAGTGTCGCTTACGATAATTTGGCGGTAAAGGCTCGATATGTATAAACAATAAAAATTTACGAGATAAGTAGGAATGAATGATAAAACAGTTTGGGGCCTACCACTGTTTTTTACCAATGCTAGTTAGGATGTTATTTCTTAGGGTTTAGTATAAACAAAACGGCGCGTTGGACTCAGTCAGAAAGGGTTCTGTGCCAAAGTCCATAAAAACGCAAAAATTCACGTTTGTTGTTTTTTGGAGTTGAACGAAATTTTCGAGTAAAATATAATAAGTGACATTTAACGTTGGTACGAGAGGGGATACTTGCGGGGAGAGGGACCGATGGTAACCGGGGCTATCAGGGAGAGGGATTTATGAAGGTCCAATATTCCTGATCCCTGCACCCAACCCGTGGTGGAACTCGCCCTGCAAAAGGCCGAAACGGGAGCGAACTGCGCGGCAAGTGGTCCCATTTTCCGGAACTGTAACCGTGCGTCGCCCACGTCAGAACACACCGCTAGGTTTTAGTGGGTATGGCCCCTGCTATTTGACTAGCCTCCAATCTGGGAGTGGTTCCGCAGGAGAGAGCTCCGCATAACCCATGGACCCTGCGCTGAGGGAAGCGGGTATGTGTAGATTTCCTAGAGTAAAAAAGGGGGGGACCTTTTAGCGAAAATCGGCACTTTATAGCAACGATTTAGCCACTAAATCCTAAAACGGTCTTCCCACACCACCATTATTTTTGAAATACCTATCCTACTATACGCCACACTATAGGAAAGACGTTAAAAAATATTATCAGCACTTTACATGTAAGGGAGGAACCATTTTTTTTTATTATATTTTATCACATTTTATCACTTTGTCGACGTGATGAATTACAACTTTGTAATACCAAATCTTTTATCTGATCCACGGACAGACGGACTTTGTGTAACGAAAAGGGTTCCTTGTTGACAACAGAATTAATATAATAAGAATAGCTATAATATCGTGGATCTCAGTCCACACAACGAACGCTTGTGATACAGCCAAAGTAAACAAGACAACCGAAAATCCGTGGGATTTACAAAGAAGATGCAAAGAAGCAAGAAAAAAAACGCAGTAATATTTTTACAATATTTTTCTATTCACATGTAAATACAAAAAACAAAAAACCAATCACAGTTTTTAATGAAAATATTATTATTTAAAAATAATAATTTAATTCGATTCATTGTTTCTAGTAGTAGTAGTAGCGGAGTAGTTTCTGAGGGTTGTATATATAGAATTTCTGAGGGTTGTATATATAGAATATTCACAAGATCTAAAATATATTATTATTCAGTAGCTATCCGCCCGCGTGGTCCGTTGGTACCTTACTCATAGATCTAAACTCCCCTGCCGCACACTCACCCCCGCTTTGGTGACGTCCACTTCGCAACGGGCCGTGCAGCAGAAATCGAATCATAATATTTTAATTTTGCCATAACTTCAAAACCAAACATCCAATTTGAATAACTCAAAGGCCAAATATTATCTAAAAAAACTGTACTTAGTGATGAAATAATTATTTTGATAAGAATTAATAGCATGAGTAAAATGAACACGTTTGAATGTAGTCCGAAAAAAATTCGAATTTTAAGTAAAAAAATGGCGGTTGTGCCTCACTCGACATAGATAGGTATAATGTATCGACGACTTTTTTGCAGATATTTATAAGACAACATTTAATGATTTTATTTATTTAGGCAACGAACGCAATTTTTTTTTTCTGGTTGATTTTTTACACCTTGTGTTCGAAAACTCAAATATCTTACGGAACCCTATTATTTTCCAAAATAAAATATATATAGCCTATGTTACTCGTGGATAATGTAGCTTTCGAACGGTGAAAGAATTTTTAAATTCGGTCCAGTAGTTTTTTAGCCTATTCATTACAAACAAACATACAAACAAAGTTTTCCTCTTTATAATATTAGTATAGATTTATATTTACATACTTATAGTATATCAAAATATACAGCGGACCCGAGCTCATTTTCAAACAAAAGTCGATTCTTTTATGATACTGCAAAATTCAAATTATTAAAGCAAATACTATTTGCCATGTCTTGCCACCGAAATACGAGCGCCCTAGGCAGTTGCCTAGTTTGCCTATATAAACGGGCTGGCTCTGAGATACCTATCCAACAAAAAACTCAGTTGAAAATTGATAATTTTTGTGATCAAATTCACATATTACAGTATTTTAACTTGTTGAATAAACAATCATAAAAATGCACGAGTGATTTCAGTTATTGCTTAGAAATTTTAATTAATTTTTTAAAAACGTACTGAAATTTATTGCCGTAGATTTATTTCATTGGGGCAACGTCGACTACAATGTTGACGATGGAAGTTGTCGTCCGGTCTCCTTATATATAGTGTGAAGAATATGAAACAAATATGGATTGTACTTTTCTCGCTTAGAACATTGTTAATAATTATTTCTACGGTAATTAAGTAGCGTTAAGTGACAATTGAACATTGATATTATTTTTCCTCTTATAAATTTCTATTTTTGCACAGGCAGAAGGTCAGCAAGTGAACAAATCATGTGGTAAGCGATAAAATATACGATAGTTTTGCATTTGTATAATTAATATTTCCTTATCGTAATTAGAAATGGTTATCGGTTACATAAAATATTTATTATTTATTAAATAATTATAACAAGTTTTTTATCATGAAATTATAAATAAAAACATAATTGACTTAATAATCAATGCATTAATGAACACTTACCCAACTCATAATAAACTTATGTTTTTTCATATTTTTTAATTTTCTTTTCCTCAATTGAATTATTTATTTGATCTTACCAAAGAAACATTTATATTACAATCAGAGCCCGCTTTAGGGGCGGCAAAATCTATGGCACCGAAAGGTCGGACGGACTCCATAATTTTCTCAACAGTGTTTTGACCCTGCACTTTGATGTTCTATTGATGATAATAATTATCTTACATACAAACAAGTAAAGTTTAAGATTTTTCTTTAAAAAAATAAAACTTGGATACACTTTTCTATAAATCTGAGCAAATATAATTACGATTCACATTCATAATAATACGTTCATAATTACGATTGACATTCATAGTAATATTCTTGCCCAGAATGGCTAAAAAGCTAGATAGGGATCATTGGCTCTACCGTGTAACTGAATCCCTGATTGTTCTGCTAACTTAACCATCAAAATAAAGCCAGTGGAAAAATGAAGACAGTCACCTAAAAAGATCATGCGTGAATTGAATTTGACACATCAAAGAGGGCTTAAGTTATGCTGTAGTTTAGAATAATTACAGTGCTGTAGACGTGCGAGAGGCCGAGTAATTGGTGAACATTGTGCATTGACCGGCAAAGGATGCCCTTCGCTTACTTGAGCTATCACTAGTATTTGTGTTTAGACAGTTATAAAGGTATTTGTGTTGCGGTTGCGTACATCGGTATACCAGCATCTTGGTTTGATCTCACGGTTATTCTCACATTGGGAGCTTTAATAAACTTATAACTACAAAATTTCCGATTGAATCTTATTCTGGCTATTGAGCTCATCAAAAATAGTCAGTCTAGTTGATTTCATTCAAGCCGACGTCATAAGTTAAATTGGTAATTCAAGTAATAAGAAAATGGCGAATCTGGAGACTTGATCATGTGGAAGACATTCAGCACAACGCATGAATTCATTTAAGATAGACACTTTCCTAGTCACCGTAAGATCTTCAAACATCGTTTGAAACTGAGACCGCGATATTAAATTCTCGTCACCATTATCGACTTTTTGATTTTATTTAATAAGGGTTTAATTATTTATAGAATGCGGCGTCACTGGAAAGAACCGGCGCATCGTAGGTGGTACAACCGTACAACCCCATGAATATCCTTGGCTAGTTTCATTGATGCTGGGTCCTAAATTACACTGTGGAGGAGCTATTATAACAGATCTACACGTACTCACTGCTGGGCATTGCATAACATTTGGGTATTTTTTCTCAATACTTTGTTAATTTAAAAATATTAGGTCCTTACATATGAAATTGGCGTTTTGTCGTATTGGCCACTATAATCACAAATTTATCCTCCTTGGTTGGGAATTCCAAATTCAAATATACAGCCATTTACACATGTATTTATGGTTTCGTTAGGTGGCATTCATTTGTTTTTTTTTCTTCTGTTTGTCCAATTTACGTCACCCAGTATAAAAAATGGAAAACCAGAAATATCGTGTTATTTACTAGTACGAGTTCCACCGTGGTATCAGTGCTGCGGAAACGGCTCGAAGGGTTAATGATATGTATGGCAAACGCGCTTCGACTTTTGCGTTACATTACTTAACAGGTACAATAATTAAGGGTTTTTAAACCTGTGATGAAAAGTGGATTCTCAACGATAATCGGAAGCGCTCATCGCAATGATTAGACCCTGGCATGCCAACCAAATCGTGCCCCAAGCGAAAATTGACTCCAAAAAAGTTACTTGTAAGCGTTTGGTGGACTAGTGCCGGCGTCGTTCATTACAGTTTTCTTAAATCTGGCCAGACGATTACGACAGACGTCTATTATCAGCAATTGCAAACCATGCTGGAAAAACTAGCTGTTAAACTACCGACGCTGGTCAATCGCTCTACGCCACTGCTACTTCACGACAACGCTAGACCACACACTGCACAACAGACGGCTACCAAATTAGAAGATCTTCAATTGGAATATCTAAGACATCCACCATACTCCCCGGACCTTGCTCCAACAGATAACCATTTTTTTCGAAATTTGGATAACTTCTTGCAAGGGAAAAAATTCAACTCCGATGGGGCAGTGCAAATCGCCTTCAAAGATTTTATTGATTCCCGTCCGAATGATTTTTTTTAGTGAGGGATCAATCTAATTTATTATATTAAAAAATATTCGATTTTTTGTTCCTCCCATACCAAACACCAATTTCATATGTAAGGACCTAATAAATAAATTATAAATTTATTTCTCACCTTCAATATTTCAATATCTTTTCTTAAGTACCCTGAGTGAAAAACTATAAATATTTGATGACTTACACCCACTTGCACAAATGTCAAATTTTAAATTTAGAACGATCACCATAGCTGCAATAATATCCATTAAAATTACCATTAGTTTATAGCGACATTACCCATACAAATTTTCATATAAAGAACATTCATTAAAACCTTAAACCGTATTCCATCAAAAACATAAAATATATAGGTAAAAATGCACAAATCTCACAAAACAATTCTTCTGCCGTAAAAAGTTATTAAATCAACGTTTGCCCAGTTGGTTAATTCAGTACCTTTCACTCTGTGAGAACAGCAATCCAAAAGAGATGAGCCCTTTTGTAGGTAGGTCTCCTTTTTTCTTTTCGGGTATCATATCTTAAGCATCAGTCACGTGTCTTTTTAAATAAGCGTCAATGTGTTGGTTTTTGATATGATATTAGATTCAGAATACAACCAAAGTTGACATTTATTAGATATAAACAGTTTAGATATGTCGTTGTTGAAAGTGCCACTTAAGCTTGATCGCATGTAAATACTGAAGACAACTTTACCCTTATTTCTTATGTTTCGATCATTACATCTATGGATATATTAACAAAGCCCATTTGAATCCGTTTGGTGGCCGTTCGTTGATCTACTTTATACGCCACATAGGTTCATATTCATATTCAAATGCAAATAGCTTTTCCGAAGTTTTTCCTATGGTAAGTTTCCTTATTATATAAATTTTAAGTGTGTAATATTTTATTTACTCTTTGGTAAATGTTTGTATCACTTAGTGGTAAAATTCTCTTTGATTTGTGTTATTAAGCACACATTGAAGGATGTTTTCTAAATGCTCTACAGTTATATATAATACAATTTTTTTTTAAATGTTGCAAATATGGTGCAATGTTATATTTTTTTCCTAGTTTTTATGCATAATAATAATTGTGTTTAAAGTGGTGTGCGTGTGGGTCTGCTTGAAGTACCATTTAGTTTTTATGATATATGAGACAGTCAACGACAAAATTATGGTATTTCGAATTGCAATAATTTTTAAAGTACTCTTTTAAATGTAATGTAATTTGGAAATCTGCCTCGTTATGTGATACCTTCTTGCCACTGAAAATTTAAGCTTCTTGTTTACCCCATAACCAAATTACAAAAGTCAAAAAAATTGACCGAATTAGTTCTCGAAGTCATTCGCCGTGCCCTTTTTACTTTTTTGCTTGACTTGGCGGGATTGGACTTTTGTGCAACTGGGTATTGATAAGCTTCACTAGCTAAGCTATGTTATATCCTTTATCTCGTCGCTGTTCTCGTTGACATGCAATTTGGTTCAATGTATATTATAAACGAATTCAACTACGGTTTAGCTGAGTCAATTAATCCAGAAAAAAATATCAAAATAATAAAGAAAATGATATGTTGTACGCATTATTGAAATAAAATATATCATTCACAGTGTTCATTTCCGTGATTTGACGGTGTACGTCGGTATGCATGATCGATTGGAGAATTCTTTTATAACTCTGCGAGTTGTGAACGGAATAAAACATCCGCAATTCACTTCAAACGCTGTGCGGGATATCAACGACATCGCGGTTCTCACTCTAAACAAGAAACTCAAGTTTACAGAAAAAGTTCGCCCAATCTGCTTACCTAATCAAGGTAAAGAAAAATATAAATAAATGATAAATGAACGTTTTAACCCAGATTTCTGAAAGAAGTCTTTGTTTTGAAACTTTCATGAGGATCAATTCAATATCTTTCAAAAAATCGTAATTGCTATCACATGTCAAATAGTTTTAGCGTGAAGGTGATTGCGATATATTTAAAATAATAAGGACTGTGATCACGACTTATAAAACTCTATACCGCCAAAAAAAATTTTATAAATTGACCTTTCAATCGTCGATTATAAGGTTATTCTGATTTTGATATGTCATAAAAAAATTCAAATAAATAATTTTATTAATACAGTTATGGACTTTAAAAATGTACCACTTACGGTGGCTGGTTGGGGGAAGACGAGGCAAGGTGCACTGACGTCATCCAGATATTTACTAGAGACTAAAGTTCAAATCGTGGATTCAGATAAATGTCGGAAGTCATCAATATACAGGGATAACCTCGTCCCCGACACAATGATGTGCGCTTACAGTCTAGGGAAGGATGCATGTCAGGTACTTTTTTATCTAATCCAGCAGTACTATTCTGTAAATGGCTTCGAAGTCGACGTCAAGCACAAAGCATAGAGGTTGAATCAAATAAAACCTACTTCAAACGTAATAAACGTTTTATTGTCACTTGTATTCATTGTCACTGTCATCGCTGATTTTATTACAAAATAGTGCTGCAATTCTACAGTTGTTTCAATAGGTTTTGTAATAACAGTTTTAATATTCTTCAAATCTGTTATAACAAAGCTTATTCTTCTATTACATAAGTATTTTAGGGCCGGATCTACTGGGGAGCAGCAAAGGTACTTGCCCCAAGTGCTAGTGCCAGGGAAGCGCCAAAATCATCAAAATTTTGGCAACCCTTCTTACACTAAAAATCATGTTAAAAAACAAGCATAACAAAAATGTTGTTTAAATGTTGGTATATAATGGGGTGCACTATCAAGCTTCTGTTCCAGTTGAAAAAAATCGTAAATCCCAGGCCTGAAATATTTATGAATTGAATTGAATTTTAGAAATACCAACTACATTGTAGCTTACTCTAATCTAAATTCCTATAAGAATATTTTTAGACGATTTCTAAATATCCGAGTAACTATGACCAGTTTTGAGTAAAAAGAACAAGAGCAACAATGAGATGAAGTTTATGTTTCCGAATTATGCTTTGAAATCTATTTTGGGTATATTTATCTGTCTTTCCGTCTTCAGGGCGATAGTGGTGGACCACTATTTTCAACTCATCGTATAACACATAACAAAAAATGGTATCAAGTGGGTGAGTTAAATTAAAAGCTTATATTAATTTATTAGTATGTTATTTTAACTGAAAATATTTTAAACATCTGTTTTAGGTATTGTATCGTGGGGAATTGATTGTGCGATGCCAGACTATCCCGGTAAATATTACTAACGCTGTACCTATAGTCATTTTTATACCGATTATATTTGAAGAAAAAAGGAAATCATTTACTATTTGCAATTTCTAATTCTATAGTCTATCTATATCTATTTATTAATATTAAGGTTCATATTCTAGAGACCCCCAGCCGATGACTACATTCAATTAAATTGTTTGTGGATTACCGTTACCGGCTTCACCCGCGTAGCCCTGTATATATAAACTTTCCTCTTGAATCACTCTATATATTGATGAAAACCGCATTAAAATACGTTTGTGTATTTCAAAAGATCTCAGCGTACAGACAGAGGAAAGCGACTTTGTTTTATACTATAGATTGTCGTTTTAAACTTTCGCAGTCATTAACATTAGAATAATATTTACAAGCGAGAAATTTATAAAGAATACGTAATTTATGTAAATTATTATATTAATATTATTCTATAGGTTATACCCGTATAGGTAATTTATCTTTAGAATTTGTTACAGGCGTATATACGATAGTGTCGAAGTATATATCTTGGATAACACAACAAACAAGAGAAGGAATGTATTGTGCGTAGAATAAAAAAACTTTTTGTAATCAAAAACGAATGGAAATAGTTGTAAATGTGTATAAAAAATTAAATATTATTTTAAGTAAATTATTGTTTATTATACTAATAGCCAGTTACACAAATGTCCATTAAATTTTTCATTAGGTTTATAGCTACATTATCCATATAATTTTAACATTCATTTAAAATCAACTGACCGTTAGCAGGCCATTTTGCTAACTCAACTGACAATGTAAAGCCGCAATATGTGTCAAAATCACTTATTCGTATTTTTTATAACAATGGTTCGCAATTTTGAAGAAAAGTCAGCGATCTCCACTTAACTCTATTTTGACACTTGATTTGTATCAATAAACTGTTATATCGTATTCCGTAAGTATTAGTGACCATTATAGTGGACTTCAATAAGTGATTTCATCTATATTTAATAGAATATGTAGACTGGGGTTAGGGATTAGTAATTTATTAAAAATCAGTTAGATAATACCAAAACCGCGCGATGACCGGTTGTCCACAGAAGGCATGAGCTCTGAATGATTACACTGGTAAACAGTATTTTTTTAAACAAAATCGAGTCGGTTTTTTAAACACCCACCTTATAAACCTCATACTTAGTTTTGTTCAATCACCCTCAGTTTTCGTTAAACATAAACTAAATTGATTACGCGAATTTTGCTTACCGACGTATGTTTCCGATAAATTAATATTGAATTATTGAAATTAAAACGGTTTTTTTTTTGTGATTGTCGTTTCTGTACATCGTAATAAGATGCCTAGAGTGTGTGTAAACCATCCTGATAACTTTTGTTACATTTGCGGTCAACTTACTATTAAAAGTCAACGTCGTAATTTGACACCATTAGTTAAAAACTGTTATTTTAATTATTTTGGCTTTCCGGTGCGAAATTTGGACAAAACCTGGACTCCTAGTGTTTGTTGTGCACAATGTGTTAGTTTATTAACATCGTGGGCTAAAGGATCTCGTCATATGCCGTTTGCAGTTCCAATGATATGGTCTGAACAGAAAGACCATGTATCAGATTGTTATTTCTGCCAAACTTCTATCAAAGGTATTAATCACAAATCTAGACACACCGTGAACTATCCGAATTTACAATCTGCTCAAAGACCTATCCCACACAGTGATGATCTGCCTGATCCTCAGAAATCTGCATGGACATGTTTTCGAAATATTGTTTGTAATTTTCTTGGAAACCACAAGGCCGAAAACTATAAAGAGTTGGTCAACAACCTCTTATCAGCTTACAAGAATATGGGATGCAGTATGTCGCTCAAGATACACTTCTTACACTCTCATTTGGATTTTTTTCCTCAAAATTTGGGAGCCGTTAGTGACGAACACGGCGAGCGATTCCATCAGGATATATCCAACATGGAAAAACGGTAACAAGGCAAGTGGAGTCCGAACATGTTGGCTGATTACTGTTGGACACTCAAAAGTGATGTACCTGACGCTAAATATTCCCCAAAATCCTGCATAAAAGTCAAATGTTAGTTGTTTTTCTTGATTAAATTCAATTTTCAACCATATTTAATTAAAAAAAGTGTATTGCAGTTGCAAGAAAACTGAGGGTGACTGAAACTTTTTTAAAAATGCAGATTATTACCAGGCTAATTGTAAATACAAAATATCCCATTCAAATTAATTTAACTTTCATTAAGGTCATTTTTGTCAATCAGTATTATCAATTAATACACTAGTTTACGGTCTACTGATAAACTGGTTTATCCGTGAACGTAAGTTACAAGCGTTGCTTGATCAGTCTAACGCAGCACGGACGGTCTGCGACGCGACTGATTTTTTTCAACTAGTTTACGTTGAACGATAAATAGTCTCGTTTCATTGATCAAAAATGCGTTGTATACTCACCCCTAGCCCACAGAGCTCAATGAACAATTTATTTCGGTAGTCCTTAGAAATTGCCAGAGTTACAGAATAAGGGGACGATGACTGATTCATTTTCCGATTGAGAGTAAAACTGAAGATGTGAAATTGCTAAAATTATAATACGAAAAAGTATTCTTAACACCAATGTTTTAGTGGTTTGTAGTAATAAAAATATTTTTAGGGCTCTGTAGTTAACAAGGTCCTGACACCTATTTTTCGATGACATAGTTCAGAATATTAAGCACTAAAATAAACATACATTCTTCCATTTGATTCCATAATTATACATAGGGAACTTTTGCAAATTAATAGGTTATTGTTGAAAAGAAATGATGATATATCAAGTGTCTATTATTACGAAGTACTTTTTTTATTTCGTGTAATTCATATCGTAAAGGAAAAATTTTATCGATTTGTCCGGTTTTTAAAATTCACGTAACATAGGCTATAATTTGCACGGGTGAAGTCGTGGGAAAACAAAAATCCTTACTATTTCATCACAACATTACCTTGTCGCATACCGCTAGGCAAAACCATCGACTCTTTGATTATATATCAACTACGTACGTCAGACGTAGAATTATTGGATCTCTCCCAGAAGTCACACCTCAATATTTTATTAATTACTAAAAAATTCGAAGCAAACGTATAAGGGACACCAAGGAGTCAAAAGACCGTAGAGGAGACTCCTAAGGACGAATGGTCAAAGTGCTTTTTTCAGTGTTTCCGAAACTAAACGAAATGGAAGCTACATTGTATTAATACAAATATAACTTTTCAGGATAGGTAGTACCTATCCTGAAAAGTTATAATTTATTTGAAACCAACAGCGTTAATTTTTTTTAAACATAAATATAACGTAAGGCCGTTAACAAGTTTCAAAAAGAATATTACAAAATCAATTATAAAGAGTATCTAATAATAAAATTAATAACTTTTTCAGTTTTTGATTTCCTAATAACTTTAACCCTCGTAGAGCTAGTTAACCACATTACAAAACGTACTTTCAGAAGAAGAAAAAGTCAGTCAAAGTTAAAATATGGTATTTTTTGTGAATAGTGGATACTACACGATACTTATAAATGATTATGTGAGAATTAATATAGGTAGTTGTTGAATTATATCAAGATGAAAATGTTATGTACATACATTTATGTGTATCTGTGTAGAATAAAGTAGGTGTTTCAATTAAGTAGCAAAAAGTTTTCAAACGCCGTTCTAGCTCGACGATTTTCACATTTCAAAAATCAACCGTTAAAATGTAATATCAAAGCATTTATAATAAAGGTACTATCTATTTCATTTAAGTGCCAACAACTTCTTTGTAACATTTGCTGTAAAAAAAAAACAAAAATGAAATAAAATTTAAAAGCTTTTCAAAAATAAGTACAATTTAAAGTATAACTAATCAATAACTAAAATTTTAGTGAAAGTTGTTAAATTATTCAATTGATTTTCTTTAAGCAGTAAAATATATTTGAAAAGAATAATTACCATTTATGCTGTATCTCGGCCGTAGGTAAACTAGCAGTATAATTTCTGTCTACATTCTTAAGCTACTAATTTACTTTTCATACTAGAATTATTACTGTCGAATTAATTACCCCGTTATAAACAAATCGATTAACTGCATGTCAAATACCTATATAAAAATGGCATCTAACAATATTTGTTACACGGAATGCAGTGTACCTATCAAACTTACAAGCAAATTATCGCGTGGATAATTCCTTCGTCTCATTTTTAAAAGCAGTGAGTGAGCGCAGACCTGTCGAAGGAAACTGTACAGTATTGTGTTTTCTAGTGACTGCATATACAATGTATATGAATTTTATACTCGCTCTAATGATGCAGGTATGTAAGTATAAAATTATATACCTAAGGGACTATATAAAAAGTGATGAATGGATCCAATGTCGTTTTAGGTGATCATTTTGACGCACTTCGCGGTGGGATTGGACTGCCGTAAGTATTTTGTTGTAAAATTTGTTTCTTATAATATTAATATTTTTTTGTCTAATTGCATAATTTTCATATACATTTCAATGTCGATATAAGCTACATACGCCATTTCAGTTCAAATTACCAAAAGCAAAAGCAGCAGAAGATTATTTTTGAATAGACTTATTTTCGAATGTTTTTTTTTCTTTTTTTACGCGATATATTAGTGGATGGATTCATATGTTTTTGTTATAAAAAGTATAGTGTACTAAGATCAGTGTTTTTTTTTTGTAAGTCGGCCAATTAATATGACATGGCCGGCAGACCTTCACCTCAAAATGAAGTTTCTTGAATTTGTTATTAAGAATTAGTTAAAAAAAATTAAGTCATATTTTAGTAAAAAAAATGACCAATCAATAAAGATGGCTTACATAATACTGATACTCAAGATAGATACTCGTATTTAAATTATTTAATATCATATGGTACTTCCCTTTTCAAACATATTAATGTCTCTATCACATTCTTTTTTAATTGCGACATATCGATGTCGATTAATAAAACAAGCCGATGTAACTTTAAAGAAATTCAAAGGAAATTGAACAAAGTTATTCGATATTAATGAAAAAATGTAATACTCAAACGCACGGGGCCATTCTGTGAAACAAAATTATAATAAAATGCTGATAGGTGAATAAAAAACATTTAAAAACGCTATTCTAGGTATAAATTGCTTATGAAAAGTGTTTTTATCTGAAAATTTAATGAATCATGAAATTGTCGTAACTGTTTTCCGATGTAGAGAAAATAATTAATAGTGATTCTTTATTTTAAGTGTACCTAATATACAAATGTACATGTATATATATTAGTACTTATTTTCTATTGACAAGCATTACCTCAAGATGAAATAGTTCTTAACACGTTAAGAGAGTTACAGCACAGAATACGTAGTTACAGCTTGGGTCGTAATACCTTATTTAAAATAAAATACTGTCTGTTAAGTACTTATAATTAGTTAACTCAGTATTTTTCTTTTACAAAATAGTGTCTTTTTAGTTCTTCGAACAGAATAGAGAATTTAGAAAGTACGTATAGTATATATTCTACTCTCGACTAAAGTATTCGTTGTACATTCCTTATTCGTGGGAAAGGCGTTTCATTTTGACACTAATACCTATATGGGAATATGCTTATAAGTATTGGGAATATTATCCATGACTCGTAAAATAAGATATACTTCAATGTTTTCATATTCATCAATTTGACGACCTCTGTGACCAAGTTGTCTTCCGGTTCCTATGTGAAACTATTTCTGAAGTCCGGAATTCGATTCCCGGTCAATGTAGAAAACGGACTTTTCTACCTTATATACATCTCGTCTGGATGTTGTGGTAACTTCTTTATTTCATATTTTTCTAAAAATAACCGCTAAAAGCTACTTCATTTGGTATCTGCGCAAAGTAATGTAACGTATGTTGTATAATAAAAAGACAATCAAATACGAGAAAAAGGGAACTATTGTTGAGAATCTTTGCTACATTTTACCGCAATATATCAAATTTCTGCAGTTGATTTTAAACTCTACTCTCAAAACATTAAGCTTTAAAATCGAGTGTTTTGACAGATTTTTATAACCTGACTTGCTGTTGACGGTATACATGTTAGCTTAGTTCGTTGAGTACAAAGCTAATATAATTTATAATTCAAATACATAACAGAATGCGGGAAGCCGTCAGAAACAGTTGTATCCATGCGTATTGTTGGTGGTAGAAGGGCAACTCCTCATTCGTACCCTTGGACAGTAGCAATCTTGAAGCACAACCGAATGCATTGTGGTGGAGCCATCATCACTACCAAACATGTACTTAGTGCTGGTCATTGTTTCAAATGGTAAGATAACACGTTTATATAGTAAAGCATACGATCATTACTTTCGTGTAACGTTTAAAAAATAAGACCTTTCAAAATTAATAACGCATAAAGGATTCACTTATTGCAAATTCTTGTTTAGCCGTATCTAACGGAGACTTCATCATCATTAGCCTGCAGCTGACATAATACTCTCCAATAAGCTCCATTTTTTCCTATTTCGGGATACTCTTACCCAATTACAACCCGCGCACTTCTTTACTTTATCATTATAACAAAACTAGCAGTAAGAGATAATACTTAATATGCAACTTAATCTAAAGTCAAAATATTTATTGCATGTCACATTATTACAAACTACTGGGTGCAGATCAAAATCCCCGATGCTTATCTATAGTAATTTTTAGGCACATTTATCAATTTTGTTAGGCACGATATGTATGATGTTATTTTAAAATTTGACCGTTATTCAATTTGACGTAGGGATAACTACAAAATAATGATAGCTCTCATCGGACTAGATCACCTGGATAAATTAAAGGACGTGGCTCATAGAAATATTTCTGAGGTCGTCATCCATGAAGGTTTTACTTCGACAGCAGTGAGAGACGAAAATGACATTGCAATAGCCACTCTCAATGAACCTATTCAATTCAGCACCACAATAGCACCTATATGTTTACCTAAAGCAGGTAAATAACACCGTATTTATCTATTTAATAACAAATCTTATTTATACGTAGAAGAAAGTACGCAAATGTGGAAAAGTTTTCCTAATATGAAATAACTTTGCATTGTTGTAATATACAGGTGATGTAACATTCTCCTTTTTTATTTGTTATTTCTATGATTTTATATCTTGTACCATTTAACTAATGTTGTAAGTAATACTATTTGCATTACAAATTTATTATTATTTTTCATAATAAATTTTTTAATACACTCTGAAATAAACCCAGTTAAACCACAAACCGACAGTGAATTTCCTGGATTTACATCCTTTATTAGTAATAATTTATGAAGGAATTTATATATTCCATTTTCATGATTATTGTCCATATTCTAAAAATTTCCTTTACTAAAATTATAACAATATTTAATAATTATTTTAGGCGAAGATTTTTCATCTCAAGTAGGGACTATAGTAGGATGGGGAAGATTAGGCGTAGAGAAGTCATCGTCCAAATTTCTATTAAAAGCATTGTTGAAAATTCTTACTGACGAAGAGTGTATGAAATCACAATTGAAGGAGCATCTAAAACCAACAATGATGTGCGCTTTCTCCAAAGGAAAAGATGGTTGCCAGGTAAGATTCTAAACGGATGAATCATTTACACCCGTTTTCACTAACCTAGAACAAGGTATGGCTTAACTAGGGAACGCCTAATCTTGCGCTTCGCATTAGCAGATTAATTTAATTCCAAATAAACATTCTTTTCTTTTATCCCTTGACTCATTTCTGATCTGTGATATTACACAAAAGCATAGCGCAGGGCGCCGCATAACACATGTCACAACTTTAGACATTGCTTAGCGTCGTTAGGTGATTCCTAGTCATTGGAAAAATACACATTCGCCTTAGACTTTTCCTAAATATTTAAGCAATAAATTTGGGTGACTCCTAAGTTAAGTGAAAACTGACATTAGAGTTGAACATTTGAAAAAAAGAAAAACAAATTATAAGCAATTCACACATCATTTTAAGCTATATTTTGTTTTATTAGTTTTCTTTCAACCAGGTCAAATTTCAAATATTTCAAAAAATAGTACTCACTATTTCTGCAAAAGTTACGATGCGACTAAACAATATTTATTACATAATTTTTTACAGTAAGGTGTAATAATGTTACTTTTACTGCATTAATGGTAACTCGTTTTTTGAATCATAAATATTAATTGAAAAGGGTCCTTTTCGTTTTAGGTACATTATAACTTTAGGTTGTTTACCTTCTAATCAATCATTCATCAACTTCATGAGTGTTGTCACACTTCATTATTTGACACGTGATGCGATCAGCAATTTAGATAGATAAAGAAAACACATGCATGTACACTGCCACGAATAATAATTTTATGTACACTAATGTTGATGGCACATGAGGTTAGTACATGAAGTTAAATTTCTCCAGTCAATTTTAAATCTTTAAATGTGGTCTAAAGGGATGATGCTTGGGTAAGAAAAAAAATTTTATTCTAATTAGTCCGCCAGTCAGGTAATAGAAACATATTAGATGCGTATTTTTTTTTTTGTTTCAATTTAACAGCAAATGACTTTATATTGAGGAGCGGAGGCTCGGTACGTCACAACTATGTAGAAAAGTGTATTATACGCCATACCAACTCAATGTATCACAGTAATTTATAAAGCGGATTCACCAAGTTAAGCTGACTAATGTGAAAATATACAATTAGGTCACTGTTCAGGAGAGAATAAATTTCAGAATTCAATTTTAGTAGTAGCCTGTTTTGCTGCCGTGTATACTTTTTTTAACTTATGTTCAGTGCAAATGTTTTTCATTGTTGATGAACCACGTTCGACTTATAGATATAATTTATTACTAAAATATTAGTTTTTTTATTATTTTAAGAAATTAAAAAAACATTATCTTCATAAATGGTTTAAACAACGAATAATCAAACCAAAATGGAGAAGGTTCCATGACCGATTGTCTTTAGTCTGTAATTTGCGGAAAAATCAGTGAACGTAGAAGGAAAACATACATACTTCACTATTTTCTTGATTTTTTTTCTCTTTGCGTGCTATATAGCAATTGTGATTCATTTGCAAGCTTTACTCTGAAATGCTTTCTAGACACATTAACGATTTACTTATTTAGTTTTATTTACTTTCCACGTACTCATTGGCTTAATACATATGTTATTAAGAAAATAAAAAAAAAAAACGTTCAATAGACTATGGACGTTTACAAAACTGCGATGAAAACGACACGACACGTTTACCAAATATCGTTAACTAAACGACAACGATATCATTATGATATCGGTATCCGACATGATATAACCAACAGATAACTAGCAGTTATTAAAAAAAGATAAATAATCGAAGAAATAATGGCAGCAGTGAACTAGTCAATTTGCAAATCTTTGTATATTGGCACGGGCACGACAATGTGGCGGCGACGATAAAGTAGACCACAACGAAATAATGTGAAAGCATCCAGTAGTGATTTTATGTATTATGAGTTACAGTTTGGACCTATATATTAATACTAGTGGCCGCCAGCGACTTCGTCCGCGTTTTCCATTATTTCTTCGCCCCTAATAGTTGCAGCGTAATGTTATATAGCCTTATATAGCCTTCCTCGATAAATGTTCTGTTCAACACAAAAATAATTTTTCAATTCGAACCAGTAGTTCCTGAGATTAGCGCGTTCAAATAAACAAACAAACAAACTCTTCAGCTTTATAATGTTAGTATAGATTATTATAAAGAGGCTTCACTGATTATTTGCATTTAATATTCTTCGAAATAAGACATTATTCTTGATGAACATAGGCAATAGTATATTATATAGTTTAAGTTTAATTTTTTTTTCAGGGCGACAGCGGCGGCCCTCTTATTGTGTTTAATAATGACTTTCGTTACGTTCAAGTTGGTAAATATTAAAAACTTTTTTGTATTTACTACGAAACAGGTTGTATAGGTACTAAGTTCATGAAACTTTCATTGAAGTCGGACGCAGAATTTTTGTAGCTGGTAAATATTAACCGCCCAAACTTCAATAGATCTTTCATAAACAAATGAATAAGTACGTAAATTTTATCTATCACGTTTTTTGAAGTGTTTATCCAAAAACGAAATAGGTAGTAATTTTTGTGATGAATAAATGTTTCATGTTAACTAAAATCATAAGTATTTTATGTAATCTGCTCTCAGCTCTCAGAAAGAAAAAAAAATTTTCAAAATTGATCTGTAATACGCTGAGAAATCAGTATGTTCGTTAAACTTATTGCGAGAGAGTTAGGCCGTCGCTAGTCTAATATTAATTTAGAGGAAATCACTCTAAGGAAAATCAATAAAAAAGCGGAAAGAAAGAAATAAAAGGGCATCGTCAATTTATGCTGACTAATGTGACCAATAAAACATTTTTGCTATTTACATGCTCCATTGCTTACGTGTATTTTGTCTAGAAACCAATATCAGGCTATTTTGATTTTGGAAGTATTGACGGGCTTGATGAATTTTGGAGGGCTAGCTTAGAAGTCATAATCGTCATCATCATATCTTTTATGTCCCCACTACAAGAGCTCAGACTTTCCCTATGGATGATGAAGGAGGATGGATTTGGTGGGTAGGAATAGAGATGCGCCGAATAGTGGGTTCACCGAATAACCGAATAGTATTCGTATATTTACCGAACCGGATATTCGGCCGAATTATTCGGTTTACCCTTTTATTGTTTTTATTTAACGAGAGTGTTTCTAAGTGCTCTTTATCTTTATATAGTGTCTTTTATTGTAAAGGTTAAGTTTTTACATTGAAAATTTAAAATGTTTATTTGAGATTTTAAAAATAAACGTTAATATAAGTTCTAAAAAGAAACACGGATTTGATTGAGGTTAGAAAAATGCTAATTAAATTTAAATAAATGTTGACTTGAGGTCATCAAATAAATTTTTATGATTTAAAGTAAACACATTTTTTATAACATTTCTTTAACTTATATAACATAAATTTTACATAATTGGTTTTGCCTTTTACTTCTATACCATATTGTGTAGACAAGAAAATATAAATTCTCATACCGAATATATTCGGCAACAAAACCAAATAATTCGACCAAATACAAATAGTAAAAAAGATGCCGTATTCTAAATGAACATTCCGCGCATCTCTAGTGGTTTATTACCGACTGCAAATGCAAGCGAGACCCAACGGCTCAAATACTCAACAACAATCGAGGGCCGCGGCGTTTATCTACTACGCCATCCAGCTACTTATTGCCTGAAGTATTTTTTCCTATATAAATATCAATGTCTTCCTTCAAAGTTTAGGTTTTGGTATTTACATTCATTTCACTCTATGCCGCTTATTACGCCGATTGCAAGGTATCGTTGTTTTAAGAACTAAATAGATGTCATCATCATTTCATAGAGGTTCAATTAAATAAAACCTACTATAAAACATAATAAACACTTTTCTCATAAAAAAAAATATCGTAAATATCCTGTAATCGTTATTTTTACAGGAATTGTGTCGTGGGGAATAGGTTGTGCAGATCCGAGATATCCAGGTAAGTTTATGAGATATTTACCCTTTCCAATTCAAATATATGAAACCTCGATTACCAAATTCAAATTTAATGTTGTCAAACTTATATAGTTGTATAACAGCAACACTCTTAAATGAAATAAAATAGAAATAATAATAATTAAACGTTTATATTTAATCATAATTATTTATGCCGAATTTATAATGCCTATATGTCGGTACCTTCTGTGACACTATGAATAGTAAGTATAAATAATAATATTATTAAAATAATTTCGCCTTAAATCATTGAAAATGCTAAAAGCACACGTGCGTCTCTTAAAATTAAACATCTACAGATGCAGCCGGTACAAATGGCTTACCATGCCTTCCAAAGCACGGAGAAGGTTAAAATTATAATTTTTTGGTCACCCATCCTATAACCAGCCCTTGCGAATGTCGTTTAGCAACCATAGTGCGTTTGCCACTGCGCTAAATAAAGATACCTAAATGAGGTCATTAATCTTATTTTTTTTTGTTTTGCTTTAAGGTGTCTACACAAAAGTCAGCCACTACATAGACTGGATCGAGCAACATTCGAAAGATGGCCTAACATGTGACTTATAAGTAAAAAAATAATCTTATTAAAAGTAAATAAAAGGATTATGTAATTTGCAAGAAAAAATATACGATATTCCGAATCAAAACCACTTCTTTCCGTTTGTTCCATTTTATTTAAATTTTTATATGTCGATGTCAAGTCTTATATTAAAGCTTTGACCTTTTCTTGTTATAATAGGTTGGGGAAAAATTTTCTTCGCATTTTATATAAAAATTTAAACATTTTTAATAAACTTTATTTACGTTTAACTTAAGTATGTAGGTACCATTTCGTTCGATACATTTTTGCCGTCTTGTAGGTAGGAACATCATACAACTGCTATAGAAATTTTGCGGCTTCTAATGAAAAAACCACGACAAGTGATTTTGAAAGTCCTCGCGTAATGTTAACCTGACACTGCCAAAAGTTTTCCAAAGAAACAGAAACAGGTGGAAATCAGAACTATATGGCGGATGCGTTAACACCTCCCAGCCAAACTCTCTTAATTTGTGCTGAATAACAAAAGATGTTTATGAAGTTTAGCGTTATCATGATAAAAAACCACACCCCTTCTATTGATTGATTCTAGCCGTTTTCACTCGACTTCTTGCTTAAAGCTCATCAGTTGTTCGCAGTAGAGTTCAGAATCGATGGTCCTGCCTGGCATTCCGCCATATACACAACATCACCTTGTTGCGAGTAAACCCGGATTTCACCACAATCTGTGACCGACCTTTGACCACGTCCTTTTTCACAGATTCATCGGCGTAATAAAGAATCGTAAATGAGTACACGGTTGGCTTATGATACTAATACTAACATGTATATACATTACAATGATTTTCCCTTTAAAAAAGTGCGTCTTTGTTTGACAATTCCAGTTTAAATGAATAAATACGACGACAATAATATGTAATGTCAAGAAAGTTCAAGAATTTTATTTACACAATCGTAACATATTTTTTGATTGTCTTCGTTTAAAACAATGTAATGAAAATCCTTTTATAAACACAAACTAATCATAGCTGCGTCAGTGTTGGTCCTCAAGTGGCGACAATCCCATCATAATGTCTGCTAGCGTACAATCCCATGGATACGTGAATGATGAGAAATTGACAAAAGATATGAATTCGACCCTCATTATCGGAACAGATCTCAATTACAAACATGAAGTGGTGTGGAAAAATGCCATCGGTTTCTTATTTTTGCACTTGTTGGGTCTGTGGGGAATATTTCTAATGCTTACTGGAGCTGTTCAACTTAAAACTATATTATATGGTGAGTATCATAAAGTCTAATTTCGAAGTATAAATGCTACATTTGATTCATAGTTTAAATAAAGCAGAAGTGACACATTTCTTTGAATTTCAACTAAACTCTTGATATGTTTTAGGTTTCATCGTACTATATACGTATTCCGAAGGAATCACAATAGGAGCACATAGATTGTATACACATAGATGTTTTAAGGCCACGCCACTACTCAGGGCAATTTTAATATTACTACAAACCGGTGCCGGGCAGGTAACCTACTAATTTAAAATTAACTGTGGAAATATATCCTTATATCATAAGCTAAACTATTAATGTTTATAAATGCTTTTCAGAACTCCATGTTTATTTGGTGCCGTGATCATAGACTCCATCATCGTTATTCTGACACTGATGCTGACCCGCACAACGCGAAAAGAGGTTTCTTCTTCTCCCATATTGGTTGGCTGATGACCAAAAAGCATCCTTACGTCATTGAATTAGGAAAGAAAATAGATATGTCTGATCTTAAAGCTGATTGGATGGTAATGTTACAAAAAAAGTAAGTTAATAATAATTTACTATTCCCACAGTATTTTCTACCTTTTATTCTTATGTTAAACTGAATTAATTTACTATTGGCATTGATTGTATGCAAAATAATTGGCAAAAGACAAAGTAATAATAAAAATAAATAATAATAATATTTATTTAAAAAAATATATACATAGGTTAAAACTCAATATTAAAATTAAGTAGCTTCTGTGCCTGAATGAGGTTTATATTCTAAACCTAAATCTCAGACTCCAGCGCTCACTCCCTCATTATACGGTCTTAGTAAAAGTATACAACATTTAATAGTAATAAATATTTAAATCCATAAGTTTTAGTTTCAATAAATATAAATTATCAATTAATAAATATTAATCAAATAGTAATAATAAAAATTAAAACCAAAATAATTTGACATTGAGTACCTCTCGGTGTGTAAAAAGTGGACGGAATGAGTGTGTGAAAGAGGGTGTGTGAGAAGTGGAATTATCATTTTATATTTATACTAAAATCCAAAGTTAACTAGTATTCACTTCCACGGCAATAACAGCATTGGCAGATGACAAGAATAAAATTATTCCAAAGCCAGTTGCTAAGTATTAGTTTTCAGCATTTCGTCGGTTTCGTCATAGTTTAATGTTTTCAATACTCCTATAACAGCTGCCCTACTGCCAGACCTGTTCATGGGATAAATGTTTATCATTTTATTTATATTTTTGTATAGGAACGGAACTAAATAACATTGATGTCTATTAACATACGAATGCTTAAACTTAGGTAACTTGACTTTGAAACGGCGACGTAGGCTATGTGTATTTGCGTTGAAAATTAGTTTCGAGTGGTATGTTAAGACTGCATGCAGGATGAATAATTGGCGGACTGAAAGGACATAACTGATAAAGATCACGTGTAGGAAACAAAAAGGAGCGGAATGTGCTTTCTTTTAACACAGCCATTTGAGCCCGTTCCAACTACATCAAAGAATCCTTAGTTGTACCACCCCAAGCTTCTATGCAGTATATTAACAATTACTGATTTAAGGAAAAGTAAACACTCGATAATAGTTTACTATCGGCGACGTGCATCTAAGTTTTAAAAATGTATATCAATTTTCGAACTCTAGCAGTTACATTTTGTATATGTGCGTTAAAATTGAGCCTAAAATCCAACGTAACACCAAGGTATATAATATGTTCAGTGTTTAATAAAGTAACCTCATTAATTGATTTTCAAATATTTGCACATAATTTATTAACATAATACATAGTGCCAGGGACAAAGTGGATTTTTTAAGCATTTTTATAATATAATCAATAAACTCTTATAATAATATCAATAAACTCTAATATAGTGATTCCAAACCCCTGGAAGTCAACAGAATCCTTAGCTCGGTAAATATACGCCCAGAAAAATAACTCAATAGTCTCATCAACTATGATATTATTACTCATAAGTCTAAAAAGCAGTATATTTTGTTGCAATTTTTTACTAATATACGATTTTTAAAGTTATAAAGGTATTTACTGTTTTTAGATACTACTATTACTTATACTTTTTCATTGCGGTACTGCTCCCTGTTTGGGCGGCGGTCCATTTCTTGGGAGAACCCTGGCTGGAGGCATTCCTTGTGGTCTACTGCGCTCGTTACATACTTCAACTTAATGGTACCTGGCTTGTGAATAGCGCCGCTCATATTTACGGGACAAGACCTTATGACAAGTAAGTTGAGAACGATTTGAGTTAGGTTTTATTTTATTCCTTTTACGTTCTGTTCCAAAAAATGGGATACGGAACCCTTATAAGGTCAATCGAAACGAGAATCTAACTGAGGACCTTTAAGATTGCGATAAAACTAGCATGAAAATCACTCGGCCACGGAGCTCATATACCCTTACTATCTCCTAAGATATGAGCACGGAAAAACCGTACCCAAGTTGCCAAGACACTCATGAGTAGCCAACGTGTCACCAACGAATGGAGAAATGAGCCATCAAGATAATTTGATCTTTGGTCGTATATAACCTGTCAATTGTACACTTCTTTAGCTTATTTAATTCTAAAAACTTCAATTGGATGATAGTCATCGAGACTGCAGTCGTGTGCAGACTATAATACCACCTACTTTTTAATCTTCAACAATAACAATCGAAATAAACCAATAATAATTTAACAGAAACCTTCAGCCGGTGGAATCCTGGTTCGTCTCATTCATAAGTCTAGGAGAAGGCTGGCATAATTATCATCATACATTTCCTTGGGATTATAAAGCTGCAGAACTCTCTACCCACTTCAACGCCTCCGCTCAAATCATTGAGTTCCTTGCAAGCATTGGAATGGCTTATGACTTGAAAACGGCAACTCCAGACATGGTACGATTTTGCAATTTTGTTTTGGGGAATAATATTCTTATCTATAAATTTGGGAAATGATTTCCAGGGAATCAAGAAAGATATTTGCAAAATAGCTACCTTAAATAAAAACGAATACATAACGTAAAATGAACAGTAGTATTGTTACTAATAAGTGCATTAACATGACTTAAATTGTTACATTCTGTCAAGTTTGTTATTTCTTGAATTAGAGCTCTATAATTATATTCATATTTCACATAAAAATCTAATGGAATACGCTTTAAAATATAATTATATACATTATTAGGTGAAGAGCAGAATCAAAAGAACCGGTGATGGTACTCACAACGAGCTTGGTAATGAAGAAAGTAGAAACGCTGTCAAGGTTTCATACGTTCCTTTCCATCCTCTAAATCCGAGCTACACAGTAACATATGAAGACCCTCCAGCATCCCTCAAGGTGGAAGGTTTACCGCTCTATCATGAAAATGATATATTCGACTGCGGTAATGTTACAATTACAAAAAATATAGGCAGCAATTAAAGTTATTTAGAATAATGAAGAACGTAACATTTTGTATTTTTTTTTTTTTGCATTTTACATTCTGTACATATTAGATAATAAATCATAGTTTAAGTTTAAATAAGTATTAGTGAAATCAATAAAAATAATTTTCTTCTGTATTCGATACTAATTATTTTTAAAGTTTTTGACTTCGGAACTGATAGTTAATACTTACAGGTAATGACTATTTTTGTTTCTTTGTTCTCTTTATAATATGAGTATAGAAATATTGGAAAAGATTATGTCGAGAAAATAAAATTTTCTTTTTTTAGGTTCTCACTATATTGAATATTTTTATTTATACAGATCTATATCTATACTTATACTAGCTTTTGCCCGCGTCTTCTTCCGCGTGATATAGTTACTTTGGGCAGCATTTTAAAAACGTTAAAACAAATAGTTGTTCATTATATCATGTAACATGCCTAAATATAAAGATTCATGATCTTTGACAATGACGAACTTCCATACGAACTTTTATTACTTTTATTCAACCCTTTTATCAGAATAAAAACCATTATTGCCTATATCGTATCTCAAGTCGACAAACAAAGAGACTTATACCTACATAGAAAGTAATATTTAGAAAGTAAACGTAATTTAATTTTTTTACTATGGGAATAATTGTACAGGGCTTACATAATTTTTAATCGTGGGAGAGCCACGCTTTGGCATAAATGGGCCGGCTCGACCGGAATGATACCACGGCCTCACAGAAAACCGACGTGAAGCAACGCTTGCGTTGTGTTTCGTCGTGTGAGTGAGGATACCGGAGGCCCAACCCCTCCCTATTCCCTTCCCTCTACCCCTCAACCCTTCCCTCCCTATGATCATATTCTCCGTAGTGATCCGTCTGTTCGTCTGCCCCCCATCCCATAAAAAAACAAAGAACTTTCATACAAACGTTTTTACCCTTTTTGATCTCCTTCGGGGTGGGATTTCCAAAAACCCGTTCTTAGTAAGCCTCTAGGTAATAAGAGGAATTTACTCTCCAAAATATCAAGTCAAATACATTATCTGTTATTATCTGTCTGTCAGTATATCAGCACGTCTTATATATATGTATAGATTATAAAAGCAAATATTTTATTGTTTGTTTGCAACGAATAGGCTCCAAAACTTTACCGTAGTAATTATTGCTTACTATTAATTTTATCATTGTAATTACGCCTATGTCATCGTGTCATGATATGACTCGATATCTAAATAAACAGTTCCATAGGGACCACACATTAAAAACATTAAAAATCTAGCTTTTAATGTTTTAATGTAAAAATCTAGCTATCTGTCATGACTCGATGACATGGACATAATTACAATAACAAATTTTATAGTTAACAATCATTACTATCCTATGAGAATAGTTCCACAATCAAAACGCAAAAAATGAAAAAGCTCCTAGAGAAGATTGAATTAAATTTGAACTTTTAAAAACAATATGTTAAGGAAATAAACAACTCCAAGTCAGCGCAGCGGTCAAAATCCATAACAACGCTACTAAATAAAATAGGTGATAGAGCCGACCTTAATAATTATAGAACAATTAGTTTAATGAACAATAGCTATAAAATATTTTCTAAAACTGTATTCAAAAGACTTTCCAAGGTCTTAGATGAGAGTCAACCATACGAATAGGTGGGTTTGCAGAAAAATTTCTCCACAATAAACCATATTTCGTCATGACACAACTAACAAAAAATGCAATGTTTACCAAAGGACTCTAAGACAAAGTCGAAATCCAAGGCAAAGTCTACAAAACATACACATATTTTATAGACTTTTATGGAAATGATTTCCATAAAAGTCTATGCCCTGGCATTGAAATGGAATATATAGAGCGAAATGGAATAAATGGAGATTTTTTACGAAAATAAAAAATAATGACTATTGGCAGAGAACAAGCCATTACCGTATATGAACAAAACAGAGTATCTTTCAAATTATATAATCAATTTCGTTTGAAAACCAGAATGAAAATAAATAAATAGAAGGATAGCGTTAAAGTGGAAAAAGTATTGGAGCTTGAAAGCGATTACGAAAAGTGACATGATGATCCTGCCCTGCTTGTATAAAAAAATATACATACTCCTTAAACATAGAAAATCCTCCTTTTGTATTTTGAACAAATTCAAAATACGGATTCTTTTGTTCATTACCTGAGGTACATGAAATACAATACATATCGTCTAAATATTCATGGTGAAAAGCGTATTTTGTAATAAAAGGAAAATTCTATTTCAATAAAATTTAAATGGGACCACCTCGGTATATTAATAAATAAAGAATTTTTAAAATCGGTCAGCAGTTGGCGGAAATATCGGTGAATATGTATATAAAAAATATACATCGCCATCGAACATATAACTGTTTAGTTTTTTATAATAATTTAAAACGAATGGAAGTTGATGAAAACTCGGAGAAATAACTGACTTCAAAAAATATTAAATTACCTTACAATTCCTAGAAAGTATAACCATTTAAATTTTATCGAAATAGAATCAGTGCTTTTCCTTTTATAACAAAAACAATACGCTTTTCACCATGAATATTTAGACGATATGTTTTGTATTTCATGTACCTCAGCACAAAACACATAATTACTGTCTCTTCTTTGGACATAAATGAAACTCCGTGATGTGGTTACAGCTTGAATTTTCTTGATTTACATTAAAAAACTTTATAAAAATGACGGAGCTAATTCATAGCCCATACTCGAACAGAGATAGTATATAAAAAAATCTGACGGGTTGTTTGAATTATTGTCTTCTAATACTGGTGCAGGAAGAGACGTGAGAGCTCGACCAATGAGAAAGTGACCGGGGGTAAGGCAAGAAAAATCGTCAGGAGAATTGGATAATGGACGTATAGGACGGCTATTTAACACGGCTTCTACTTGGGTAAACCAACTAGACAACTCCTCAAAAGTAAAGTGAGAGTTACCCATAACTCGCTTAATGAAATGTTTTGCCAATTTCACTCCGGCCTCCCAAATTCATCCAAAATGAGGAGCGTAAGATGGGGAAAAAACGAATTTAATATTTTTAAATTAATTTTAAGCTTTCTTAGATTACAACAACCAAGTCGGAGAACATCGGATACAGCTTTAAGTATATAGACTAAGTAGTCTGCATCATCACAGCCGGTAATGAGATCGTCGACATAAAAATCATGTTGAATTATAGTTTTTATGTTAAAAACTGTACATTCCTCTCCCAATTGCCAAAGACAACGTGTGCTTAAATAACTGGAACTTGCCATTCCGTAAGTTACAGTATTCAATCTGCATGTCTTGATAGGCAAAGACTCGTCTTCTCTCCATAAAATAAGCTGTAATTACGATCTTGTTCCTTAATTTCTATCTGTCGATACATCTTTTCTAAATCACCAGTGAGGAGATTTTTATGTTGCCGAGCTCTTATTAATATAGAGAAAGCGAATCCTACATATTTGGGCCTATCATCAGAAGATCATTGACGGAGAAACCTGAAGTAGTAGGAGATGAGCCATCAAACACGACTCTTATTTTTGTTGACTCACTATTAACTTTAAAGACAGCATGATGACTCAAGTAGTAAGATGTAATGAGATTTGTAAAAGGAGAAACGGAAAGATGACCTAAATCTGCGTATTCTCTTAGAAGGTAATATATTGTTCCTTGATATCTGGATATTTACGAAATCGACGCTCTAGATTTAGTAAACGTTTTTTAGCCATAGAATAAGAATCGCCAAGACAATAGGGGGAATCCTTTAATGGTAAGCTTACTGAAAACCTTCTAGACTTTAAGCGATCCATATTGGCTAAGTATTGCTTCTCACAAGCTTTCTCGTTCTCACTCAGAGGACATTTTAGTTGAACTTTTTCAAGCTCCCAAAACTTGGTTAATTGTTGATGAAAATCATCATGAATAATTGCTTATTACATTGAACATTAATGGATTTATGGAATTGTATATTTAGTGGACCCAAGATAAGCCAACCTAATTGGGAGCCTCTGAATGTCGGTTTATATTGACCCATGAACGTTGGTCGCATCCCAATATATCCCAAAACAAATTTCCATCGATGAGAACTTCAATAGCGGCAGATTGATTAAACTTAGGGTCAGCTAACTGGATATCGACAGGTATATGAAGTTGTCGAATGTCAATATTGAATTTAGGTAAGAGGCCAGTCAACTCTCTACTCCGGCAGTACTAGAAAACTCGATATTATAGAATATGTGCTAGTTAATGAATTTAATGGTGCAACACAAGCCTCTTTGACTTTACTTGAGGAAGTGTTCCCGATACCAATAATATTAATAAGATTATTCGATTGGCTTGGAAGTGATAGTTTATCCTTAAGTGATTGACTAATAAAAGAAGATTGACTACCACAGTCCAAAAGTGCACGAAGTCTTTCTTTATTGTTCGTGTTTGGGTTTATCACTTCTATTCAAGCAGTAGATAATAAAACTGTTTTTGAGCAGTATTGTGAAAAATTAATAATTTTGTCGTCTGATATGGAAGAACAAGCATCAGTTGGATGAGGTTTATTGGGTGTGTGCAAAAGAGTGTTGTGCCTCCCTCTGCATTCGCCACAAGGCCCGAGACGACAATTTCGAACCGAGTGACCAGATCGCAAACAATTTAGACACAGTTTAAGTTTATGAATTTTTGCAATTCGGTCTTGTACACCTTTGGCCATGAAGGAGGGGCAATCGTATATTCTATGATCTCCATGACAGACTGCACATAACTGGGATGTCGAACTTTGATTACAAATTACCGACTTAGTTTGGGGGTGTTCAAATTTATTATTGGAACTCTTTGTGGAGGTCGATGAAAATTTAGTAAAATTATTTGAAGGACATCGTAAAAGAGATCCAAGAACATCCTCTCGATCGATTATAAATGTATTAAATTGTTGTAAATTAGCTATGTCTTCCAAAGTGCCACGCCATTCCTCCCACTTCGTGAGTGTTCGACTCTCTAGCTTGGAACATAGTATATGAATGATCAGTACA